TGTTTCCATTTAATTTATTTGTTGATGATAATGAATTTAAGCATAAACTTAATTCTTGTTTTCTAGATCATAAAATTTAATTTGACAGGCTGCAATCACTTGTGTTACATCCCTTTGATGTCTCTATTAATTGCATTAATGACCTCTTAAGATAACAATGATGCCTACAATTATAAGTTTATCGACAGTTTTAATTCTAAATTCACCAATATTAATTCTTCCTTCAGCATTTAAATTGCCGTAGTCTAACCAAAAACTTCAATGAAATAACTAGCTTCCTTTCCTCTCTCAATTATAAATTTTCGGTGCTTTGCTTCTGAGAAACGTTTTTTAACGCTCGTAAAACCCAATTTTCCTTTTATAACGATTCAAACATAAATAATGATTTCACATCTTTTCTTTCTAACCAAAATAGCAATTCTTTTTTTCTTAAACAAATTACTGAGTACGAAATCATAGACATTATTAAAAACCTGAAAGATAAAAAAGTCCTTGTATAGATGGATTTTCCAATAAAGTTATTAACTTAAGGGTGTTTTACAATTTATTTGAAAACCCTTAACTCATATTCAATCTTTCTTTTCAAACTGATATCTTTCCTGATGTCCTTAAAATTGCAAAGGTCACCCCTATTTTCAAAAAAGACAATTCTCATTATTTTTCCAATTATAGGCCCATTTCTCTGCTGCCTTGTTTTTCAAAGGTGTTGGAACGTTTGTTTTTAACAGAATAGGCCTATACAATTTTTTAACAAAACATAATATACTTTTTAATAACCAATATGGATTCAGAAATTGAATCTTGAATCGCCTACTTGCATTACATTCCATTCCATATAGTATATGTTTTATTCATTTATTGATTTACGTATTTATATATTTATTTACTTATTATTAATATTAATTTTATTACTATTATTATTAACAGTACATATCTTGAATATAATATATATGTGTATATGTATGTGTGTGTGTGTATGTATGTGTGTGTATGTATGTATGTATATATATATATATATATATATATATATATATGTATATATATGTATATATATATATTAATCATAATGTTGTAAATGGAGGTCAGCCTTAAAGTTCTTTGAACTTATATGACCTCCATCCACACACATGTTTATTTTTATGTATTATTTAAGTAATTTCACCTATATTGTATGTTTAATTGTATAATTATGATTTGATGTGTTTGGAAAAATTAAATAAACAAGCAAAAAACAAATATACATATGTGTTATATGTGTTGGACATGGAATCATTAGCAAATTTCATTCAGGGATCGGATTTTGATTCGGGGGCTGGTGTTGCCGGGTAGCAGGGGGAGGGAATGCAAGTTTGTCCAATCTGATGACCTGACCTGTATTTTGACATCACGTGCTTCTGTTGTTTCCTTGTTAAGATTATTAACATCTTTTGAGATGGCAACTGGTTCTGGGTTTAATTTATTGGAAACCAAGGTTTGTTGTTGGGGCAGTGGCAGGATATCACAGCTCCCAGGGGTTGATGCTGTGCCATGGTCTAGTGGTTCTTTGAATGCTTGTGGGGTTAGAATTGGAGGTCGGGGTGTTTTTTATGCTTCATGGGAGGAAGTTGTCCGTTTGAGAAAGTGGTGTGCGAAGTGGGCGAACAGGTAAATGTGTTTATTTGGTCGTGTTTTAATTTTAAACTCGTTAGCATGGCCTATATTATTGTACGTGGCGCCTGTATATGTCATGCCTGTTGTTTTTGTAAAACTACTGTATAAGTGTATGTGTATCTTTTCTCTTTTGTGGCTGGGTAAAAGGGAAATGGTGGCTCGCAGAGAGACGGGGTGGTTGATCTGGTAACAGAGACCCATAAATATCATTTTGGATCTAAGACCACTAATTCTACTGAGTACTGATCCAGTCGGTGTGTAATGTCTACAATCTTTAAGCTGTCTCTTATACACATCTAGATGTGTATAAGAGACAGATATATATATATATCAAAAACGCTTAACCAGAACAACCCCCTGACTCACTCTCTCTCATATATAGCCCTATATATAAATATAAATAAATAAATAAATATATATATATATATATATTAAAAAATGAAGATTCCACGTTTGATTCGATAAATAAAAAATATAGAAAGACAGCAATATAAAACAGCTATGAGTTGTAGACATATTAGAAGCAATATAATTTATTAATATCACAAATATTTCAAACACTCCTGTGTTCTTCCTCAGTGTGAGGACAATTGACAAAAAATACAAAGTAAAGCAATATTCACACACGAAACGAAAACAGAACATCGAATCAGCGGTAAAGAACAAAGGCGCGTAATAAGATGCGCATCCTAAACTTAATATGGAATAAACAAAGTAGATAAAAGCTGGATAAAGGCCTAGGAAGTATATATAAATGAATAGTCTGATAAGTAATCTAAGTCTTTATTTAAACCGTTAATATAAGAATTGGTTCTAAGAATCCACTTCAATTCTTCTTTACGTCTATGTGAGAGGGATAAAAAGTTATTAGCGACCAAAATAAATCTTATGTCATTAATGCTATGGTTCGGTAGATTGAAGTGACAGGCTACTGGAAAACCAGTGGAGTTGTCTCTGATGGTTTTTTTGTGATTATTAAATCGGAGGCGGAATTTAGTGCCAGTCTCTCCAATGTAATTACCAATTTGACATTTGTTACAAAATAAAATGTAAATAACGTTAGAAGAATCACAAGTAAGTGGAGGGGGTCTAATAATAATATTAGTACAAGGAATAGTGAATGTGTCAGAGGTGCACATGGAATTGCAAACTTGACATCTGGTTTTACTACATTTAACGTTACCAGAAGAGTGGGAATTCTTATGGAGTTTAGAGGATGAGAGAATAGATTTCAAATTAGGGGGTTGTCTTTTGGCTAGTAGGGGAGGGTCTTCAAAAGGTGGCAAATAGATTTATCTTTATTGAGAATTTTATAGTCAGTTTTAAGTTGGCGGGTAAGAGAACTTATATTGGGATGGTAGTCGAAGACGAGAGGAATGCGGTTATTAGTAACATCTTTGGGTTTATAATCTAGAAGGGATTGTCGGGGACGGGTTGAGGCTTTAGAAATAGCTGATAATATTAGTTTAAGGGGATAATCATTATTAAGAAAATGGCTAGTAAGTATGCCAATTTGTTTGTCATAATCATCCGAAGATGAGCAAATTCGTTTACTTCGTAGACACTGACTATAGACAATAGATTTTTTAAGGCTTAAAGGGTGGGAGCTGTGAAAGTTCAGAAATTCATGGTTATCAGTAGGTTTAGTGTATAAAGAGGATGTGATTATGTTGTTAGTAGAGATGCCTACAAGAACGTCTAAAAATGGAATTTTGGAAGGCGAAGTTTCAAAAGTAAATTTAATGTTAGAATGGAAGTTGTTAGCATATGATTTGAAAGCATTGAGGGTATCTTCACCGTGGGGCCAAATGAAGAAAATATCATCAATATTGCGAGCGTAGTGAAGGGGTTTAAGGTGAAAGGATGAAATAATAATCTCGTGCATAAAAACATTAGCATAGCTAGGAGCCATTTTCGTGCCCATAGCGGTCCCCTTAATTTGAAGATAGTGACTGTTGTTAAAAGTGAAATGGTCATGCGTAAGAATGAATTTAGTAAAGGCAATGATATCATTAATATGTTCGGCTGGCACACATTGTTTAGAAAGGAAATTATTAAGTGCTTGAATACCTTCTTCATGAGGGATGTTAGTATAGAGCGAAGTGACGTCCATAGTGACTAGGATAGATCGGTTAGGTATATTAGTTATATTATCAAGGATTCTAAGAAAGTGCGTAGTGTCTTGGATGTAGCTAGAGATATTAGGGAGGAAGGGGTTGATAATGGAATCAACAAGGCCAGACAGATTTTCAGTGAGGGTACCTATGCAGGAAACGATCGGTCTACCAGGGGGAATGGTATTGAGCTGTTTGGATTAAAAAATTTAATTAAAAATTTCAATAGGCTTAAGTGCGCTGACATTGTAGTTAGTATTAGACAGTGATTTTAATTTATTATCAATAAGTTTAGGCAGTTTGTGGATTTTCGGGAGGGTATAAAACAAGCCAGGCTTGGGATTAGATGGGATAAGATTAACAATATCAGATTGATTATAAAATTCTAATTCATTGATAACAACACTAAGATCGTCTCTATCATAATGGTAGGATCAGCAGTGAGAAGTTCATAAAATTCCTGGTTTCCAAGTTGAGACTCAGCCTCCTTTTTATAGTCAAATTTATTAAGGATGGTGACGCAGCCTCCTTTATCCGCTTGTCCGATAATGATATCAGGGTTGGACTTGAGTTCACTGATGGCTTTGCGTTGGGGTACTGGTAAATTGTGAGATGGTTTAGAATTCATGTTATTATTGATGAATTGATCCAAATGCATTTTAGCATTATTAACGAACGAATCGATAAAAACATTTCTTCCCTTTGGTGGGTTCCATTCTGTGTGTAGCTTCTTTTTTCGGTCATGTTGAATAGATATAGGATTTGGTTTATTGGTGGGGTTAATATTGTCTGTCTTGTTGCCAAAGAATTCCTTTAGGGTAACTCTGCGAGTGAACTGATGTAAATCAGCACATAAATTGACTGGATGAGGCTTGTTGGTAGGGCAGAAAGATAGGCCTTTCAATAGAACAGACTCTGTCTCTTATACACATCTAGATGTGTATAAGAGACAGGGGTTGTCTTTTGAGAGACAGCTTTTGCTCCCATGTACCAACAAACGAACAACTCTACGCCCTCAGCGAAAAAAACTTTGTTTGTACGAGACTAAACAATTTCAGTTACAGAAATTTATATTTCAACGTTTTACAATATCTTTATTTAGAATATTAAATACATAAATAATTAAAGCTGATGAGTTTTAATTAATTTATTCTAATGACTTTTTTGTATTTATAGTTTTACTGTACGTACAATTATTACATAATTTCTCTGATAACACACCTCCAATATTGAAGGTGTACCACACTGTGGCGATCTGCTGCTGTCTGTACGCGACGCGACGCTGAGTTCAGTATGGCGAATTTAGAGTCATTTGTCGTTAATTTGTTGTAGCAGTTGGAGGCCTAGTTTGTAACTTCAGCAGAGATATCACAAAGATAAATGTGCAACTCCAGTAACTCGGTATGAAATTATATTTCATATAGTAGGGCTGCCTATCCATGTTCTCATCATAGGCCTAGGCTAGCTCCTTTGGCCTAGGAATAGGATAGGCCCTAGGCGGCCCATATAGGCCTAGTGCGAATCGTACTTCGTAGGCAGGCCTTCAGGCTCCTACACCTGGCCTAGCTATGCTAGGCCCTTAGTTAGGCTAGGCCAGGTCCTTGTTTTTCAATTAGGCCACGAGAATGAAAATTGTAGGTTTGCGTCCGAAAAATTTTGAAAACACATGAGGCATTTTTTCATTTTTCATTATTCATTATTTTTTTTATAAATGCTGTCCACAAGCCGCGGCATTGGTAATTTTACATTTATTCCCAAGAAACAATGCTTACAGTCATAAATTGTTATTATATCTCTATGTAAAATGTACACTAGCCTATAAAACAGATCCTTTTCTACATTTAAGACCTCTTTAAACATATGAGATTTCCTATTGGTCAGAAAGATCGATTTGACCTGTAAATGACCTCAGCAGTGATCGGCAATCATGGTGCGATGTGGCCAGTCCTGCCTTCGCTCAGTGTTCACGACAAGTGATCAGTGATGAATAGATCGTTTTTTTACGACTTAGAAAGTCCGTTTTTTAAAACGAAGTATAATTTTTTTTCAAAATAATGAACTTTTCAAAATAATAACAATTTTCGTGCGGTAGCTTTTTAGGCATGCGGGCGGTGGACGCAAACCTACAACTTTCATTCCCGTGGCCTTATGTTAAGGACATTTTAAAACAGATTTTTTTTTTTTTTTAATTTGTATTATTTAGGGCGTACAATTCAATTCCTTATTTAATTAACTTTTTTAATTCAATAATCAATATCTTATTGATTATTTTTGTTGGTTATAGGCTTAGGGCCCACAGTAGGTAGGCCTGGGTATTGTTGTTTATACAGTTGTTAATGTGTAATTTATATTAATTATATATTACCAGACTTTATAGTAAGGCCTGTAACAACCGATAATGTAAAACGACGCATAAGAAAAAAAATTTTAACGCATAACGTAAAAAGATTTGACGCTTAATGTAAAAAAATAACACATAATGTAAAAAAATTTGCTTATGCATTTATGTAAAAACTTTTGACGCATAAATGCAAAAACATTTTCTAACGCATAATGTAAAAACCTATCAACGCATACCCTGTAATTGAAAAAACAAGTCTTCTCCATTCCTCACGCCTGTTACTTTAACCTAGTGTCATCAATGATGCCTGCTTGTCGGATGTTGTAAGTGCGACTTAACGGTTCACCTGTATCTCAGAGCTTCTTCTTGGACAAATTGTAAAAAATTACTACTAAATGTACCTCCACGCCCATTGACGCTAGCTAAATTCATCGGGGAAAAGCACGATGGAAACGATAGAAACACGTAAGTCATAATGATCGATGTATGGCATAAAACCAAGACAGCGATATGTACACCTTGTTTAAGCTAAGGTCACACTAGGATAAACGCAGGTTTCAATATTACGGAAGACCGTTTGTATTAAACGTGGAAAAAACAAAGGAGAATATTAGACATTCGGATAGATGATGTGGGTCATATTTATTTCTCTTCAAAATTCCACAATTTTCTCTGTCAGTTACTACATGTACACAGGATGTTTTGGAGAAACTTATTCAAATTTAAATAAAAAACGAAATATTATCCACACCATCTATCTGAACCTTAAGTTTCATATCTTCTACTACACAAGACATACTAGTGACCATTTAAATATGATGATCATCATATTAATAGTAATAATAATAATAATAATTAATAATAATAATACTCCTCTGGATGTTGTTGACGTTGTTGTTTCTCAACTACAGTAATTCTGTGTAAGGCCTATGTGTAATTAGTGTACTGAATGCTGGATGGATGAATCATTGAGAAGAGAGCGAAAGCCTTAATAAATATAGCTGGATTTCCATAGACCATATGATGCACTCGATGGTCTTTTCAACACAGTAAAACGGTCATTGAATAAAACTATTCACAAAAGAACAAACAACTTTTGCTACGAAATCTCTACTTCGGCTTACTTACCAGAATGCAAAATCTGGTAATTCTGTAATTAAATGACCAACGCTCGGCATGCGCAGGGCAAAAATGCAAATGATGTTCCGCTTAAAAAAGTAGTTCCCATTCCTATTTGTGTCTGTGGCTTAGGCCGCTGGCTCATACCAACATAATTACATTACATAGGTTCGACGTCATTTTATTAATTATTTTCATAGGCCTAGGCTATAGTCTACTACTTTACCACTACTCTACTTACTACTACATATAGCTAACTACTAGGCATAGGCCCTAGGCTAGGCCTAGTGGTACGTGCTACGATCTAGGCTACAACAACGCTGACGTAACACATGATGATATAGGCCTTTGCAAACTATAGTATTTTGTGTAAGTATGATGTTTAGTAAATACTAACAGCTGCTAACCTAGTGTATCTACAGTAATACGTTTGACCAAACAATTAAAATCCTATAAATTATTTACATCAAAACTAAAGATGAAAATATATTTTATCATAGTCAATAGAAAAAAAAAATCGATAGCGATTCGACATCTATTCGACGGTCATTCGATAGCAGAACGATGTCGAACAGGGCCCGGAAAGAGGTCAATGCCTGATTTGTCGAACCGTATAAAACTCTCTCTAATAGTGTAATAAACAATCAAAAACAGTTTATTCTATATTTGTTTATTGCAAAACAACAAAGGATCCGAGAGTAATATGCAAGGACGCCCACTTCTTAGCTATTGTTCTAGTTCTTATCAGGTGTGAAGATAAGGCCCTTAGCAACAGTGCAGTAGGTAATTAGCATATTCTCAGTTAGACACTAGAAAGACGTCTAATAGACGTCGAAATTTGATGCGTTTTTCCACCGGGGACTCTGAAGGTAACAGGAAACCAAACTTCAACTGTGTATCCGATGAGAAAGAAATATATCAAAAACAAAACAAAATAAATAACAGGATGCAAACTTTTTCCTCGACTCCATGCTGGGAGTGTGTGACGATGTGTGGCCTCTGGACAAGGTTCAAAATAGAAACTTGTTTTCTTTTTATGGATAAAAAGACCCAAGATGTTTGCTTTTTGGGGGAAAAACCAAGAGTTTTTGTTTGTTAAAACTAAGTATTTGGATAGAAAAGTGAGGTTTTTGTGCAATAAGCACAACAAATCATACTTTTTATCGTAAAATGCCAAGTTTTTACATTATGCGTTGATAGGTTTTTACATTATACGTTAGAAAATGTTTTTACATTATGCGTCAAATTCCACACTTTGGATGTTTTTTACATTATGCGTTGGTTTTTACATTATGAGTTATTTTTTTACATTAAGCCTCAAACCTTTTTACATTATGCGTTAATCATTTTTTTTTTTACATTATGCGTCGATTTTACATTAGCAGTTGTTACAAGGCCTGTGCAGGGAATATAGCAACCAAGCAATTAAAAAACTCTACAGTATGAGGAGTGTTTTCTTGAGTGATTGCACTCTGAAAGATCTTGTTAGCTTGTTCTGTTATCCAAAGTGTTGAATTTGTTATTAATTATTAACATTGGCTGTAATTTACAGGTTGATTGATGTTTGCATGTGTTCAAGATGCCCCTGCCAGTGCAGTCTACCACCCAGTCAACAGATGCTGTCACAACGATTAATAAGTACAGACAATATGTAACAATACTAGCAGATCCGTCAAGCCATAGTAAGAATTCTTTAGTCAAGTATTTTCGAAGGTGTTTTCGGAACAACCAACACATGTGTTTAGACCCATACAAATGATTAGATAGGCCTAGATTAGTACCCTAATTGGAAAAATGATTCCAAAGGCTATGCTGTATTTTTTATTTTTACTCGAACCAATATTGTATTCTACAGCAAACAAATTTAAGTACTGTACCTGTACATTTAAACTCACCCACGAAAAACCTCCTTTGGCGGCCTTTCACTGTGAGGTACTGGGGCGGGTCCAGATATCTACATTAGGGGGTCACAAAATTGTTGGCTCAAGTCTCTCAAAAGATGGGAGGGTGACAAGGCAGAAGGCAGTTCTCCAAGTCATTTTATCCTGTTGAAATAATTGATGCGGGAAAAATTTTTTTTTTTTATTCTCTCTCGTCAATATTTTCCGAATTTTTGACGTGGGTAGAAGTGATAATCTAATAAATTTTTCTATTTACCCTAATTAGACATAAGCACAAAACTTAAAATCCAATTTTTTTTTCCATGGCAAAACAACTTAACTACAAGATGCAGTAAGATTACGGGGCAAAACAACATATTTACGATGAAGGAAAAATCAAATGGTTATTGATGTTTTATGTCAATAATCTTAACAGCAATGTATGAACAAGCTAGGTAATGCATATTATTGCCACAAATTTGATAAATTCCAAAAGTATTTCTTACAATACTTGCAACAATACCGTGCCTGACATGTTTCTGAGGCAAAACAACGTATTTGTAATTATCGCTAATACAGTATCTTTGCAAGAAACAAATGCTTGTAATTAAAATTTTGCATATACTCACAATGTAGATATACAATCCTGCAAAATTTGAAAAGGGTACAACAATTTATTGCAAAGTTCCGAACATGCAAACTTTAACTCTGTTTTTCCTCAAACGTGCACATTTCAAGTTGCGTTGTTTTGCCACGGAACGGCCGCATTAACCCAACATCTGTAATGGCTAAAAAGCACTCTAATATGTTAAGGATGGTTGGGGGAGGGGGTCCGGATGTCAATGAGCATTATCCGCTATGCTTCCGCCCAGGATTATCCTTGACGCCCAGAGTGGTCAAATGCTGCAAACTGTATTACCATACACTAACACAGTACCTGACGTGTTATCGTACCAAATACTAGCAAAAGAAAAATTTACCTCCAGGTAACTGATGTCTTAACCACTAGACCACCGAGCTTGCTCTTGGTGACTAGTGATGAATCCAATCCCATAGTAGCAGCAGGTACTGCAAGTGCTATAAAGATATGAATTTGCGTCAGGAAAATATCATACAGTAGGAGTGATGTTTTGCCCTACCTGGCGTGTCATCGTACCGAATACTCAGTACGTCCCCAAATACTAGCGAAAAAAGCCTGATTACCTTTCAAATGAAGAAGAACATGAGCCAATAATAATTTTGTTTAATGAGCAGGTAGGATAGGCCTACTGATATACAACATGGATTACACAATACATGCTAAAATGTTGCGTTGGATGTAGGTATTCCTTATTTGTCACGAACTGACTTATTTTAGTGACTAACATGGTCACTTTTACAGTATATTTGAATCCATTGTTTAGTGAACATATACACGTTTGTAACAGTCGCACTCACTGAAGTAGTACGTTCCACTTAACCTACTACATACTGAATACTATGCTGCTCTTTTCACTGTACTGTACTAACATAATTTCAATAATGAATTCTCACACGTGTTGCTTTTTTAGCGTGACAATCCTTGTCCAATATTGTCCATAAACTTTAAAGGCTGAATTCTCAAATATTGTTCTTCAAACAGCTGTATGTTGGAACTACTGTTACTTCATAACAAAATGTCGGATTTAGATGATTTTTTTTAACCATTTTTTAGCTCTAACGTTACTGTTTAACCCTGTATTGATAACTAAAAATTGGTTTTTGCGACGAGTGACTTGCTTGGTTTGTCTTTGCCATATTTGATGGTTATTGGTAAAAATTATATGTTACCATGTAATGTTATAAGTATAGTGTTGATGGCATATTTTTTATGCATATTTATAGCGGCTGAAGCCAGGTTAAAGGCGGCTCAGGAGATTAGTGAGAATTTTGAAGTCATTATATCCTCCCCTCATTACCCAACATTCCTGGAAACGGCCATCCCACGATTCGTCAGGGTACTGAAGGATGAGAGCCCGGTGTTTATTGCTGAGTCACAAATACAGGTGAGCATAGGAATGTTCTATTTTCAATTTTGTATTGAGCAGTTTAGCACAGAGGTTGCAGGTCTGCTTCTGAAACTTGAGGTAGGAGGTTCAATCCCTTGCTGTGCATTTCGCTTGTGTCGGCAAGGCACTTTATCTACAGTTGTCTCTCTCCCCGCCTGCTCTCTCCACCCAGAAGTACAAGTAGGTACCTGGTAGGTTCAAACACAAAATATGCTGATTATAGCTACAATATTACAGTAATATGGAATTCTCCCCATGGAGCTGAGTATGTGTTCCATATTCGCTTGATCCAATGACCTGGGGTAGTAATATGAAGCATTTAGAGGCTGTATTGGTCTAACATACTATATTATTATTAGAAGTATTAAATATTTAACATTTTTAATACTTTTACAGTACTTGATCGAATTAATGTATATTTTGACACTTTATATTGTCACTGTAAAGAATATATACTGTGGAATGTACAGTAAGTAAAACAGTCGTATCTAAAGTTAGTGCTGCTTTATTCTGGCAAAACTGGTAGAACTTAAATAACTAACTTTTTAATCATTTTTTTATCACATAATATTTTGTCAGCAGTCAGTGCTGGTATTCCTAGTTGTGTAGTATAGGAATTTATATATCAAAACAAAGTTTCAACTAATTATTTGATGCACTTTTTCAGCAACTCAGAAAACTTCTTCTGGAAATCATCCATCGAATTCCTACAAATGATCACCTGCGAGTCTATGTCCCTCAGGTTTTGGAGCTCATGTTTTTTTTACTTGACCGTGAAAATGAGGAGAACGTTTTAGTGTGCTTGCGTGTTATTATTGAACTTCATAAACAATTTAGACCTCATATGGCACCAGAGGTAAGTCCCACCTAATACCCATTGGCAGTTTTCTCTCACTCCACCCAGTGTTAAAAATTGGGTTTTCAGGTTAAACATTATGAAATACTCAATTAATAGGAGCTAAATTAGTGCTCTAAGCCTCCAGGAAATTTTTCAGGCAATCATCATCATCATCATCATTTATTTAAGTCAGTTTTCTTCCCTCTTCCAAGGGGTTACTGACTGTCACTCGTTCCATGCAGCTACACCATCTCTCCACTTCTTCCTGTCTTGTGCATCATACTCCTCCAAACCAATATTTGCACTTTCTTTCTTCACCATATCTTTCCACGTCACCTTTGGCCGCCCCCTTACTCTTCTACCTTCAACTTCTAGATGCCAGGCTCTTTTTACTGGATCACCTTGGTCTTTTCTTAGCACATGACCCATCCATCTCAAGCAACTCCTCATAACAACCTCCACAATTGTTTCACTTAGACCTAGACGTTCCACAAGCTCCTTTGTGTTCCTTCTCTCTGCCAGCTTAACACCACACATTTTTCTTATCATTGCTCTTTCTGTTCTTCTCAAAATTCCCTCTTCAGTTGTCTTTATGTTCCATGTTTCGGCACCATACACCATTGCTGATCTTACACAGGCTTTATAAATCCTACCCTTTATTCCCAATGAGAACCTTCTGCCACACAGTACCATGGCCAACTCATTGAACTTAGACCATCCAACCCTACTTCTCCATGCCACCGCAATTTCACAACCGCCTCCACTATTAAGTGTATCACCAAGATAACAAAAACGGTCCACTCTCCCAATCTCCTGCATTTGTTGTTCCACCACCTGGTCTTCAGCCTCATTACTCTTGTCTCTCTTACACTTCTTGCAATTAAAGCTCTCCGCCATTTTACTAGACACTTTCTTGACTCCAGCACATCTTGCATGAATCCACTTCTCACATGGTCCGCACTTAATGGAGTTGCTCATAACTCTTTTCCCGCATACACCACATGGGTTTATTTTGGCCTTTTCTACCACCTGTATACCACCACTGGCTTCCAGCACTTTTGTCTTTACCACATTAACTTTCAGGCCTCTACTTTTAAAAGGCCTCTTTCCACTTCCTGAAATCTTGCTCTAGCTGATCCATAGACTCAGGCATCAACACCAGGTCATCTGCATATAATAGATTCCACAATGTATCTTTCTTTACTGCTTCTGTCAGGACATCAATTACTGTTGCGAACAACAGTGGTGACAAGACTGAACCCTGGTGAAGACCTACTCCCACGCTAAAACTCTCTGAGAAGTCATTACCACATTTGATTTTTGTGTGAGCTTCTTCATACAGTACCATGACATATTTCACCAGACCTTCTGGAACCATTCTTTTACGTAATGCCCAAGCGATAACAGAACGTGGTATTCTATCAAAAGCTTTCTCCAGATCTACGAAACACATAAACAGTTTCTTCCTTTTATCATGATGACATTCCTGCATCCTTCTCACAATGAAGATAGCATCTACTGCACCCTTTCCTGGCATAAAACCAAACTGCATATCATCAATTTTGATAATATCTCGCAATCTCCTCTCCAAAACTCGTTCTATCACCTTCATACCCTGCTCCAATAGTTTTACCCCACGATATGAACCACAATCCATCACACTTCCTTTTCCCTTATAGATTGGTATTAAGATGCTTAGCTTCCAATCATCCGGCATACTAGCACCTTTTGTTTGCTATTCTATTAATCATTGTTTATTTATTTAATGTTCAGTGTTTAATTACTTATCCTGATTTGTTTGTGTAGAAAACATTAGAAGGATTGCCAATCTCCCCAACTCCTGATGCTCTGAACATTCAATTGTACGTTGAGAGACCCGGCTTTGCCACTCAAGTAGTCATCACAATCAACCAATCAGATGGCTCCAAGGTTCAGGTATTACAACATTGTCATCTACTCCCTCCCTTCCCCTTTGTCTGCAAAACTTGACCATGAATTGCCAGTCGGTAAACTTGGTCACTATGCTGCCTGAAAGCTAAGTTGAACATAAAAACTACATTGAATTCAACATTTTAATGTAGATTTTTAGATGTCCATGAGTTCTGCTTGGCCTAAATGGTTGTAATATTTATCCATACAGAAACATGTATTGAATTCCGTAAATATCTCTCAAAAAGATGGTCTGCTATTACCCTTGTTTGTATTGTAGGTAAATGCTGCAGTACACAGAAATAGCAAACATGAATTGTATCTTAGATTTTATAGTTAAACAGACACACAGTGTTAAACTTCATTATAAATAAATGAGCTATACTGCTCTCTTACCACACCAGGTTTCTTGACTCCTCAGTGAAATGAAAACTTCTGCTTTTACCTTCCAGCAAACAATACTGCCACGGGGTATAAACTCCTTGAAAGTATTGGCAGAATATCCCATCATTGTAGTGCTTATGTATCAGCTTTATAAACAAACTGTACACAGTGTTGTTGCAGAGTTCATTCCCCTGATCATGAACACCATAGTCCTACAACCAAGTCAACAAGCAAGGTATTTTATATTTATTTTAAAATTGAGCGTTTACTATTTTGTCGCTACTAATGTTTCATATTTGTAACAAGCTTGTTTTTGATGTGCCATCATGAGAGCTTCCCTAAAAAATATACATCTTAATTTTCATATGTATAAAGCTAATCAATGAATCTGCAAAATTCACAATAATAATAAGACTTATAAAGCGCACAAATCAACTGCAGTAGTGCTTAAGGCACTACAGAAGGAAGAACCAAAACCTACCAGAAAGGAAATGCCACACACATCACTGTACTGTTTACAGGCAATTTAAGGCACATGGGCTGTCCTATTCATAAATCACAGGTGCTCAAGTAAGGTCAAATAAAAAAAAATTATTGTGTTGGCCACGCTCGACCGAGTCAGCATGTTAGTTTTTTTTTTTTTAATGAAGGCCAATTTTGTGACGATAGGCAATGAGACAGTGTTATGCAATAGTTTTGCTCTTCAATATAGATATTAAATTGTTTTTTGTTGTATTTTAGTGTATTTTCTACCTTTTAGGCATAAACAATTTTTGGTTAAAAAAAAAATAAAATTTTAAAAAAGAGACATTTCCTACCGACCTACCCATTTTGGGAATTTTTCCAAAACGTGGCCAACACAAGAATTTTTTTTTTATTGGCCTAATGGGGATATCTGACTAAACAAATTAACTTTACATGCAAAACAAACAAGGAAACTAGAAACTGCAAAAGCAGCAGACAGCAGATGTGTCTTGAGAGCGCTTTTAAACAAGGCAGTAGACAGGCACAAGCCAATGTTAAATGGCAGTTTATTCCATATGGAATGATTTTATCTTACATTCTTTGCTACTAGATCTTCGGCCCATTTCAACAAGGAAATGTATGTTGATTTTGTCGCAGCCCAAATCAAGACACTATCATTCCTAGCCTACATTATCAAGATATACCAAGTAAGTAGAACCAAGATCGTAATCATGGTCTCCCTCCAATAAAATACCCCTGCAATTAATGACCACTTCCAAATAAAGACCACTTTTCTTCGGTAAAATTAACAAATGTCTTTTATCTTCATTATTCTGATGGCGTTTTGCATCTGGAGAAATAATAGAATCGATGATAGCCCTACCTGACGTGTTATAGTACTAAATGCTCAATACGTTCCCAAATACTTGCGAAACAAGTGATTCATTTGGGAATCGAACCTACGACTTTCAGATAACTAGTCTGGTTTCTTTAACCACTCGGCCACCGAGCTTGTGCTTGGTGGTTATTAATAAATCCAATCCCCAAGTAGCAGCAAGTACTGCAATGCTGTTTCAACATTGCCCTAGTGAGATTTAGTGAGATGGCATTTTATTTGTTATTAGAGACCAAAGCTGTTAAAGACCACAGAAATCCCAATCCCAAAAGGGGTCTTTAATTGGGAGGGAGCCCGGTTTTGTTACACTCCATGAATATTTGCTTTCCGAAGAAAGTAAAATTAACTTGTAGAAGATATTCACCTGTACTCCTTATCTTTGAGTAAATGTAAAATTTTCAGACAGACACAGTCTATATGTTGTGGATGTATTTAGTACCTGTAAGTGAGGGCCTGTATTGACCCTTTTCAGTTTCTCATAATTTTTTTTTTTTAATTTCTGTAGGAATTGGTGAATTCTTGTGCTCCGCAAATGGTGAAAGGAATCCTGGGATTGTTTCAACATTGCCCGAGTGAGGTTGCCCATTTAAGGAAAGAGCTTCTGATAGCAGTGCGGCACATTCTGGCAACCGATCTTCGTAACAGTGCGTTATATCTTAAATCTGATGAGTGATGTAAACATTTTTGTAAACACAGTTTTTTTAAATGTTAATATTATTCAGGGTAATGGAACAAAACTTTTTTTTTATTTATTTGATAGGATTTGTCCCTTCAATTGATAAATTGTTTGAAGAGAGTGTGTTGGTTGGAAGTGGATGGACTAGCAAAGAGTCTCTCCGGTAGGTGTACATATAAAATCTTGTTAGGTATTAGTGTTTATTACACACCTAAATAGATCCCTGCCATTTGATTGGTAGATGTCATATCACATGACATTCATCATGACAGTCATCATGGAAATTTAGTTCCACTGTGCATTTTCTTTCCATCAATTTTTGCCCATTGCACGTCACCTAGGATATGATATGACTTCAACCTAATACAATCTTTTGATTGGTTAAAAAGATGCTAGACTGTTCCATTTGGAAAAAGGGTAGATTTTTTCCTAAAATATCAAATTACAAGAATCTATATTCAGAAAAAAATTTAGGTTTTTTTTAATAAGATATCAAATGACAAGAATCTATATTATGTGTATTATAAAACAAATAATGAATGCTTTTTATTCACGCAAAGGAAAAAAAAATTTTGGCTTAGCCTTGTCGAATGGAACAGTCAATCTTTCATCTCATGAAAATATTCTTCCCATTGCACTCATAAACATTTATTATTTGTGTACTATTGCACAGTGTTCACCACATTAGCTACATTTTTTGGCATATATTCACTGAGACATTTTATTCAACATTCATGGTTTGCTGTCATGTACATGGCTTAACAAACGGTAACTGAATTCGCTAATTTGTCAGTGTATGTTCCACAATAATGTTTTGAAGTAGTATACAAATTCAACATGGTTTGCTGTGAAGTAGAGAATTCTATTTCCCAAGGTGTTGGATGATTGGGAGGTAGGAAGGAAATGAGTGCTTTGAATACCCACTAGTTATTATTACACATGTTGTTTTTTAGGCCTCTTGCTTATAGCACTTTGGCGGATCTCGTACATCATGTCCGTCAGCATCTTCCACTGCAACACCTATCCCTAGCTGTGCATCTGTTCTCCAAGAATGTTCACGATGAGTCACTGCCGTGTAGTATACAGACAATGTCCTGTAAGCTACTCTTAAACCTAGTGGATTGTATCCGGACCAAGTCCGAACAAGAACACGGCAATGTAGGTTTATTTGATGACACATTTGAATTTTTTATTTAGCATTGCTGGCAGATTACAATGTGTTTGTGTATTACTGTAAAATTATTAACCAAAAATAATGATTTAAACTTTTCTATGTGGTACAAATAACTCAAGCAATAAATAGGTTCATATGTTCTATACTATGACAAAATCATAGTAGTGGTGATATAGTAGTAATGATCTGTGGCGTATTTAGTGTTGCAGAGGGGCATTTCACGCCCAAAAGCTCACACCTTCCAAGTCGCCACCCCACTGGAAATGCTCAAAGCAAAATAAAATTATACTCAAGTAGTTAAAAATCACCTTATAATACCTTATTTTGTGAACAAGTTCCTCTAACTTCACCTGTGCGCCCCATCGCCCTCTCCCATTTTTAGTTCCTTAATAATGGTGATAATAGTAATATGGAAGTGATTTTTTTTTTAATGATTAATGGTAGTGGTAATAATAATTAAATGTTAATATATTTATCTTATTTTTAGGGAAGAGAAATCTTGATGAGGATGTTGGAAGTATTTGTGCTCAAATTTCACACCATTGCCAAAAATCAACTACCTCCTATTTTTAAGAAAGTGTAAGTACAAGAGTATATTCAAAATACTTCATATTAATGCAGATAAATTGTACAAAAAACATTTATCTCTATTTAAGTCTTCAATATACAATACAAATATATACGTTTTCTATCATATTTCAGAAGAAGTCAGGCAAACAGTTCCAGTACGACAGAAAAAACTGTTAACTTATCGTTAGGGGTGACATCTACTCAAGGAACCTCATCAGAATCAAACTCAACCACTGTTGTTGTGCCGTCAACTCCCTCTTCGACTGCTCCTCCCACTCCGGGACTACCTCAGTCAAACCTCTTCCAGTCTACATCAGGTGGTAATGGTGCAACCACTCCAGGTGTAACTGTCCCAGGTACGCCGTTGCTTGGAAGCGATAAAGATAAAGATAAGGAAATCAAAGAGGAGGTGAAACCAAAGACATACTTACCAACAAATTCAGCACAACACAACAACTACACTGTGACAGACTGTCGCAATCTAGTGAAGACGGTCATCTGTGGGGTCAAGACAATCACATGGGGTGTCAGCTCTTGCAAATCTGGAGGAGGTCAGTTTTCTAATATGATTGATAAGAGAGAATACAGTGATACTGGCATCTGCCTATTCTACATATGAATATGAATATTATAGACCCAAATAAAGACAGCAACTACAATAGTTATATTGGGTATCATTGTTTATTGTAGTGGTTGTTTTAAAGTAATTTTTAGTTATATTATCATGATACCAAGATATTTATAACAACAATATAAAAAATAGTATAATCATTTTGTTATTTTTGCATATTTTTGGATTTCCCAAGAGAACCAAAACTCAAGATAATGATAATATTATAGTTGTATTAATAGATACTATATATCAATATTAATTTACTTGTTATAAATTTCAAACTGCAAATAGAAAAAAATGACCATGCAAATTTTCTTTCAGCTGAAACCAGTTTTGCAGCTCAAAATAAACAATTCCACCCAAAAGAAACAGCAGTGTTTGTCAAGTTGGTGAAATATGGTACGGTCAATAATCCTACTAGGATATTTTTAGTAAATGAAAAAAAATATAAATAATAAAGAAAAAAAGAGAAAAAAATTAAATAAAGAAAAGATTTATGATATTGATCATCTTATATGCAATTCAGTGTTTTACCAATATTTTTTTCAAATGACAGTATAGACTTAAAATTATAATACTAAATTCAAAATTCCCATATATACACAATACACATATATGTGTTGGATGATGGCTTTCGGTGTTGGATGAGTAGCCCCAATCATCCGAGCCCTCAGTAAGTAGAATTCACTACTTCACCTCAAACTACAATGTTGCATTTCTATATTATTATAGCACTACAGGCACTTGATATATATCAGATTCAAGTGTCAGCTACAGGTCAGCTAGGAGTGAGGCCAGCTAACACACAAAGTGTGCGCTTAAAAGAAGAAAAGGAAGTCCTTGAACACTTCGCTGGGGTGGTATGTCTTTTTTCATATCTGTTATTTAATACATAATACTACATTTTGGTCATAAAAATGATAATAAAAAATTATTGAATTCTCTAATATATGAATAATAGATAGTGATAATGAATAATATTAATTAAACTTAACACTTGATGATGCCCTCACCTCGTATGCATTTTAGCAGTAGCATTGTCTGAAATACATTTTATGCTTGAGTAAATTGTAATTTTTATTTATTTTCTACTAAATTATATACTGAGTAATTATTATTATTCCTGATGATGCTTAAATAAAAGTGAAACAGAATAAAAATGGTGTTGCAAATTTTTGGAGTTACATTCATACTACTTAATAAATTATTACAAGTTAGACATAATGATATACGAAGGATTGAGAAAAATTGAACATTTACACTTGTATTAACAATACAAGCTTTGAGACATATTTAATAAGAACAGTCATGGTACAGTATTTAAAAAAAATGTAAGTTAATTGTATATAAAACCGCATTTCTTTTATTCTCTTTCAGTTCACCATGATGCATCCATTAACATTCAAGGAAATCTACACTACTACCATCGACTTTGTTGTAGAACGTATCCATCAGAACTTCCCGCTTCAGATTGTTGCCAATGCGTTTCTTGCAAATCCGACCACGTCTGCAACATTTGCGACGATTCTAGTGGAGTATCTGCTGAATAGATTAGAGGAAATGGGCAGTGAGTCATATAGAATTTTTTTTTTTTATATAAATATTATGAAGTTCATATCCACCACAAAAGAATAAGTTAAGGTATGATTAGATTATAATAAGAAATGTACTATAGCACTACAGTCCCAGATTCAAGTATCAGCTACAAATGTTTTTTTTTTACATTTGGCAAGTTATAGTTAGTAGGAAATCATGAGGTAGGTAGAGAAGTTCAAGGAGAAGGTCCGCGACTTACTGTATGTCCTCCCTTTAACTTGAGATACCATAAGATATAGGATTTTTATTGCCTTAAACTTTCAGATTGCCTGGGTTCATCACATGTTACAGCTATTCTATTTATAGTTCTTGATTCTCAGTTTTTGTTTTGTACCCTCAGCTAACTTGGAACGCTCCAACTTGTACTTGAAACTGTTCAAGCTTGTCTTTGGCTCAGTCTCTCTATTTGCTGCTGAAAATGAGCAGATGCTGAAGGTATGTTTAATACCAGATGTGATGTGTGTGTGTGTTGATTTGGTTTGATATTAGTGAATAAATTATATTATACAATATCTACTTGGACTACCTAGATCATTTTTCGAAAAATAATGGAATCGTCTAACCGCATGCATTAATTTAAATGAAAATCTTGATTACATGTTCACTATTAGTTCAGTAATTCACTGGAGGTGGTTTGGCACAGTGGAAATGGTTTGGTTTCCCAACATCGAGGTCAGGGATTCTATCCTTCACTGTGCATTTCACTTGTGTCCTTAAGCAAGGCACTTTATCTACATTGCTTTAGTCTACACAGCTGTAAATGGGTACCTGCGAATTGATGGGAGTAACCTGTGGTGTACCGTGGCTCGGCAAGCATTTACTTTTGCTCAAACTACAGACATTTTTTTTGGAGCAAATATAAATATTAAAATAACAAAGCTGAAGGGGCTCTATAAAGATTCATCATTGAATAAGTTTACTTTTATTTTTCAAGCCGCACCTTCATAAAATAGTCAACCGTTCCATGGAACTTGCAACAACAGCCAAAGAGCCATACAACTACTTTCTGCTTTTGAGGGCGCTGTTTAGGTCAATAGGTGGCGGTAGTCATGATCAACTTTATCAGGAATTCCTTCCTCTTCTACCAAACCTCCTACAAGGTATTATGATGCACATCTTCTTTTGTCATAATGAATTTTAAGATGGCAAAATAAAAAAATCAATATTTTAGAATAGGTATGTATTTAAATGTGTGGCAAAGACAAGCCAAACCAGTGCCCTCGTCGCAAAAATCAATTTTTAGTTAATAATACAGGATTAAACAAAAAATGAGAACTATAAAGTGATAGAAGAATCCGACATTTCATTATGAAGTTACAGAAGTTTAAATATACAGTTGTTTAAAGAACAATATTTGAGAAATCAGCCATTAAATTTTATGATTTTAGGCATTTCTCAGCCAGAAATCATCACCAAATCATTAAAAATTGTTGTTTTAACATTGAAAATGGGGAAAACAAGAGCATAGCATGATATATAGATGTATAAAGGTTAGTTTGGTGCGATAAAATTGATTCACAAATTTTGACATTCCAGCATGTTTTGGCCATTATCTCTGAAACAGGATTTGCGACAAGTGACTGATTTGGCTTGTCCTTTCCACATATAATATGAAGTTGAACTAGAAAGCTTAATTAAACTTATCTAGTCGTGAGAATGGACCAGGAAGCCATATGACTTCAGATTCACTGCCTCAGCTAGCTCTGCCTATTTCTTTTAATGTACGCTGGAACACACAGTTAATCATTCCAATTTGATACTCTTTCATTAAAAATTTTGTTCCAAGTTTGAGTCTTTCTATAAAGATATAATAAATGATAAAAGCATAATTGGACATACAATACATTGCATTTACACAGATATAATAAGGTCTGCACACTTATGAAAAAACTATATATCTTTATTAAGTTGAAAAGGAATAAGTTAATTTAATTAATTTTCATTCATCCAGGTTTGAACCAACTTCAAAGTGGTCTACACAAACAGCACATGAAAGATCTATTTGTTGAACTTTGCCTTACTGTGCCAGTCCGTTTGAGTTCCCTGCTGCCGTATCTTCCCATGTTAATGGACCCTCTAGTGTCAGCTTTAAATGGATCCCAGACACTTGTTAGCCAGGTTAGTAACCATGTTTTCATTTATCCCAGTGAAATATATTAAATTTGCATTTCAAACATTTGCACATCATATAAAATCTCAATAATTATGATAATGTTAGTATTAGAAGTTAATAGCTTAATATTCAGTTGAATTCTTAGCAGTTTGAAGGATCCATTAACATGCTTTTACTGCAAAAGTGAAAATTTAATACCCTATTCAGACTAGCATCGCATTTAACGATTGATTGTACCAATTGCGACACCAAATCGCAATTCACAATCATTTGTGAAAGATACTCCCGAATTCCATGGAATCTGATCAACAAATTCCACAGACTCTAATTGGCTGAGGTCAGTCAATATAGGTCTAGCCACCGGAGGAATAGTACTGTTTTACCTACTCCAGAATATAAAGTTTTTCTGGAATGCACTTGTTGGTTGCGATCGGGAGTAATTAGTTTTGGATTACCACCGACGCTGTTTCAACCGATCACAACAGAGTGTAGTCTGAATATGGTATAACACTGGTTTCTTCGTTGTGTTTACAGGGTCTACGTACATTGGAGCTGTGTGTTGACAATCTTCAACCTGACTTTTTATATGAACATATTCAGCCTGTAAGAGCTGAACTGATGCAGGTAAGCATTTTTTTCAAATTGTCTACAACGCCAATTTCATAATATTATTCTAAAAAATCACTCATAATTGTAAAGTTTATTGCATAGTTGTGTAAACAAGAGATAGAGTAATAATGATAATCTTATAGCTTGGTGGTCGAAGTACATGATTCTACCCTGATGTGTTTTGACATTCGTTTGGTGTAGTGTTCTGAATGAAATTTTGATGTGTATTTGCATCAGAAAATATCATAAGAGTGATGTTTTGCTCTACCTGTTGATTGTACTAAATATTCAGTATGTTCCCAAATACTTCTGATGAGCTTTGTTAGTAGTATTCACATACACTATGTCATCATTTACTATTTCAGGCGATATGGCGAACCCTTAGAAATCGCAATGACAGCATTGCTCAGGTTGCATTCAGAGTGCTTGGGAAATTTGGTGGAGGCAATCGAAAGATGTTGAAAGAACCACAGAAGGTTAGTACTCATTCATCTCAATGCAGCAGCTGTTTGTATGTCTTTTTTATATCAAAATTTGGGGGTGAATCTGTGTGTTACTTAACTGAATGTCATAGTTTTTGGAAGTTTAGTTTTGTCTATGTATATGTGTGTTATTTTTGTGTATTGATAATTTTGAAAGCACACTGGGTAGTAGTGTGATCTAGTTTTATCCAATCCAATTGACCAATTTGCTAGTATGGTCTGGTTTTATCCACTAGTCTGATCCAGTTTAATCCAGTTTAAGTAACCATTTAATATTCTTTATTCAGCTGAATTACAGGAGTGAGGACACGGATGGGCCCTGCATTGTCATTTATTTTCAGGATCACAAGATACCAATTTATCTTAAGGTTTCCAAGGTAATACAGTACATTTGTAATTATAAGTAATCAAAACATAAAGAAATTAAACCAGTTGTGTAGTAAATATGCATTCAATACAAATTATTTACTGGAACATCAATGAAAACACAACACTATGTAGTTCATATTTTATAATTTGACTTCATAGTGGATACGGCCATCTATCGCTTATCCACACATTGATATTAATGTGCAGAGTTTGGCATAAATTCATGTAATTTGTGTATTCTACTAACTTATTTCCTTCCACTAATAACCTTCTAGATCATTGAATCAGCTCTGGATGCGTTAAAGTCACCATCTACTGATGCCTTCTACCGTAAACAAGCCTGGGAGGTTGTCCGACATTTTCTTGTCTCTATGATAATGTTGGACGATAATAGACAAATGGTTCAACAGTTGCTTTCGCATTCAGCGTAAGTCACCCTATCTTCATGTTGTAAATTGATTTATAAATCATATTTTATATTCAATTATTTTTGCCATATTTCAATACCACCATGTTCTAATATATACATTTTAAAAAAGTAAAATAAAAAATTTACACATAATCACTTTTGTTGGAATTATTATTGCTTTCATTCTGGGCTTTGTTGCCAGTGACATTTTGTTCTAGTAATTTCATTTCATTTATTTCAATCAAAAATACAAAAGACAAGTACAGACTCAATGAGAAACAAAAACAAAGAGAGGAACAACAAAAAGCGAACTATTGAGTGGTTTCCCAAGAACACAATTACAATATCAACAGTAAAGAAAAAATATGCATCATCTATCAAATAATAATGTGCAGTATTATCTATTGCAATAATATATTAAAAAATAATTGTTTTTAATTAGAAATCTCTTTAAAGCTGTTAATTAAGACACTATTTATGCCATTACGTTTGATTTGATTTCTACCATTTAACTCTTTATGAACTTTATGAATAAACCTAAACCCATTGAAATGTAAAAAAAACATTAATTTGTAATATGTGATCGTGATTGATTTTATTATTAATATTTTCAATGTATTTTGTTTTAATGCAGGTTCACACGAGGCGAGATCCCAAGGTCCAGCCAGCCGATGTACAAGTGTTCTGATACATTATCAAGGAAGGCGTGTGAACAGGCATTGACTGCTATGATAGGTAATATCTTGCTTTACAAATAATTGCATTGTTTTTTATGGCTACATGCAACTTCATTTTACAAGATAACATCCTGTATTTGGTTAGGTACTAAACCTCTGTCCACATTATAAAATTTTCTTTTAAAAAAAAAAAACTGTTGTATGCCCATATATAGTCATGATGTGCCTATATATAGTCATGACATGAAGTCATCATGACCATATTTAGGTATGTCATGTTTATGTCAAATAAAATTTGACATAAACAGCATGAAGAGTTTTTTTTGTCTTTCTGATACCCACAGAGTATCAACAATTAAATCCTATATTTGTTTTTTATTTAGTTGCCTCTACAATCAAAGATCTCCGTACAAGTGCTCTACCTTTCATGGTCAACCTTGTGTGCCATTTCACTTTTGTGTCCATCACGCAGCAGGCTGGACCATTGCCGATATCCAACCGCTACAAAGTCCAGAAGGGGATGGATCCCCATGTTATCATCGATGCGATTGCAACTTGCATGGCACACACAGAGAAAGAACTTTGCAAAACAAGTCAAGTTGCTTTGACCTTCATGATTGACACTGCAACTAGCGTGCTGGGGTCAAAAGAGAGGGTAAATATTTCATGAATTAGAATTTGTTTTTGAATTCGTTTGATATAAATTATGATATACATCTGCTGTAGTAAGTGCATTTTTATGATGATACACCTTTTTTATACATTTTCATTTTTCCACTAGGCCTGCAGCTTACCAATCTTTGATTACTTGGTGGAGAAGATGTGTGGATGCTGTTACGAAAGAGCTTGGTATGCAAAACTTGGGGGCTGCATAGCAATCAAATTTATGATGGAAAAGATGTCCACCATATGGGTTTTCAACCACCTCTACCAGTTTCTGAAAGCCATTTTCTTTGTAATGATGGACCTAACCAAAGAGGTATATGCATGACTATATCCAGAAATTTTATCTGATTTTTTTTTTTTTTTTTTGACTTGCCTTGTTTTTTAGTTTGCTGTAGTATAATAATTTTGTTTTTGTTTTGTAATCTTGGCTTAACTACATAGCTCTGTTCATCCCATCATATTTTGGAGACAACTGACAACTCTATGATGAAAAAAAATTCTTTTTGAACAAACTTTAAATTAAGTAGAAGGGATATCTCTTATTTACATTCAACAGAAACATAATAATAATACAGTAATATTTATGTATATTTTATTCTGTCTATAAATACACACAAAATTGATTAAACTTTGACCCTTGACCACAGGTATCAAGTGGAGCTCTTGACCATGCTAAGACTGACCTTGAAGCCCTGTTACAAATCTGTGCTTCGGACCTTTCAGAAGAAGACGCGAAAGATCCAAACACAGTGGAAGCAAAGAAGAAGGCTTTCCGTGATGTCACAAAGGAGCTTGTACGAGAAGCAACTTCGCCTAATCAGACAGTGCGAGAGCAGGTGTGTGTTACAGCCAGTAGTACAGAATATTTAGTACAATAATGATTCAAGTCATATAAAACTTGGATGATTTTAGTACATTAATTTCATTACTATATAAAAGGATATGATGTAATTTTTGTCCCCATTATCAATTTGTCAGCGACAATTATCTGTAACTTACTCATAATAGAGGAAAAATGATGTCAATTGCATATAGGATCATATCTCTGGCATTTGCCACATAATTTGACATCCACATTTCATCTCTTTGTGGGCTCTGACTGCATGTGGAGTTAAGATAGGTAACTAATAGGATGTGATGGTTATCCATCAAAATAAACTGATTATTTAGGACCACTTCTGTCTAAATCTTTGTTCACAGTATCATGTTTCATGTGATACTGCATCATCATACCCATATATGGCAACATTTTCATTAAAGAAAATTAGGTTTTCTGGACAGAGCATTATATATTAAATCATACCTCTTCTCTAGGCCATGAATTCATTGAGGCAGATAGCAGTGATAACTGGTAAAAGTGTGACAGACATCATGGATCCTCATAAAGAAGTTCTGGCTGACATGATTCCTCCGAAGAAGCACCTGCTACGACATCAACCGGCCAATGCCCAGATGGGTCTGATGGATGGTAACACCTTCTGTACAACATTACAACCGAGACTCTTCACTATTAACTTGGAAATAATGGAACACAAAGTCTTTTTTACTGAGGTACAATACTGTTTAGTCTATGTTGTGAATACCCACCTTGATAAGCCAATATATAGCAATGGAATATTCCATCCCATTTTGCATTATATGATAGATACACCGAAAGGTCCACTGATTAATTTCAGATAAGAAAGTATAATACATACTCTAAGTATTGAAATGCACGCCATCGTGTTGGGATTCAATATTTCAACATTAATTATGTCATCATCAGGAATGATAGATACACCTTTCCTAACCTTAAGATCAGTTTTTGTTACTTGTTTATTCTTTAGGTTGTATGAGATGAACTAGAGTTTTAACTGATCAAAAGGTTTTTTTAAATGAAATGACCATAGCTTACATTTTGAAAATACTATATTGTCAAATTGCGTACCTTGACAATGCCATTTTTTGTCACCCCTACAATGACATGTATATGATGTAATTAAACATATTCATCTTTTATTCATAGTTGATGAATCTTTGTGAAGCTGAAGATGCCGTTCTTAGCAAGTTGCCATGCTACAAGTCTGTAACGTCCTTGATTCCATTGAGAATCGGTGCTCTGAGTAAGTCATCAAACATATTACCGTAATGAGATCGATGTGGTGCAGGAGTAAGGTTGACAGTTTGAAACCAAATGCTTATCACATTTCTTGTGTCATTGGACAAGACACTTATATATTTACCTCTCTTCCTCCAGGGCTATAAACGGTACCTGGTAGGAAGTGAATGATTTTCACACCACCTTCATCAGCTGCCTTAGTTGTAATTCACTCATTATCGCATGGTTTTGCATGTTGGTGTAATCACATAAGAGGTCTCGCACATTTGATTTTGAGCGTTTCTCATTTTTTTTTTTCACCTGTTTGGTTCTTTTGCTAAAACTGATTTTTCCCTATACTAATGTAGAACTGAGAAGTGTAATTTTTGTCTTTACAGAGGCCCTAGCTGCATGTTTCTACATACCCCAAGTCCGTGAGAAGATCTTCAATACATTGTATAAAGCCTTAAATTCCTCAAATCCAGAATTGCAAGAAGCTGGAACTGAGTGTATGAAGAAGGTAGGTTCAAATCAATACTTTTTTTTTCATCATAATGACCAGAAAATTATGTTAACATTCCTGTTATTCAATTTTTGTATCATTTTAAGAGAATGAGAAACTATAATGTTTTCTTTTTCAAAATAACTTGATATAAATGTTGATAGATAGAATATTGTGTATATACAGTATTTATTTTAAAGCATGGCCCTCAATTCAGTTACATTAAGTGACAGGTATTTTTTTTTTTTGACCACAATCTCCACGCTCTAACAAGCCTCATGATGGAACTTAAGTTATGTAGACCATGTTGTGTCTCTTTATATTGTGAATCGAATTCCTGCTTGAGCTCTGTCAACACTAGCAAACTGTTGTATGCCCATATATAGTCATGATGTGCCTATATATGTGCATGATGTGATGTCATCATGACCATATTTAGGCATATTTTCATACAAAATTATTAAATGTCTTATTACATATAGAACCAAAAGTTTTTGTTGATATTTTGTTATGTTTGTCTCTTTTCACAGTTTATTGCTGGACATCCGGTTGACATGGAGTTGGTGCGTTCCAATGTGCGCCCTCTATTGTCCTTAATGGGTGATCATCGAAGTTTGAACCTGAACGTTATAAAACGTTTACATAGCCTCACTCAACTCTTCCCTAATGCATTCAACGAAAAGCTATGTGAGCAGTTGTTGGTATGTAAATACTTTTTTAGTTAATTGACAAAAAAGTCATTGATACCTAACTTTAATAAACTGTTATACTAAGATTAAGGAATGATAATTAATTTTTTCCAGGCACACCTAAAAAAATGGCTGGAAGTTTCAATCATTGCCATGAAAGGTGGGAATACACGAACAAATGCACAGAGCATCAAGATTTGCTCAGCCATATTGAATATGTTCCATACAACAGCAGCAGCATCACTGAAACTACTGGAGCCGCTTGTGATATTAACAATCAGAGCAGAGAAAGTTCTCATGATGGAGGTTAGTTTATAAGGATTTAATTAGTTTTCTATCAGTAAATTTTGCATCAATTTATAATCAAGTGGTACAGGGGAGGGACAACTTGATTTTCTGCATCCATTCGTAAAAGGCTTCTAAAGAGAGCCTATCTAGTGTGGCCTAGATTGGCATGAGAACTGCTAACTTTTTACTTTGAATATAGGGTTGCAAGATTAAATTGTGTTAAACTGAGAATACATGCACACAATGTTTACGAAAGTTCCTGGCCCAATCAATCCAAAATCTCAAAAAAAAATATTAATATTAAACATGATTTTTAGATTTAAAAATAAATATATTACTTTTTTATTTTATGTATTATTTCAAAATTTATACATGTTTCTTAATTGTTTGTAGATTGGAAGTCCCCTACGTAAACCATTGATCAAATACCTTGTGAGATATCCACAGCAGACTGTTGACTTCTTTCTACATGAAAACAACCTCAAGGAACAGCAGTACAACAAACTATTTGCAGTAAGTCTGTATAAAAAATATGAAGAACTACAAACAACCCATCTTTTTTGTTTACTTGTAGATATATTGTCATTGTTGAGAAAAAAAAAACTTAATTGTTTACTATGAATATTTTATCATCTGTTTCAGGTTTTTAATATAAGCCTGTTTAAACTATTTCGTTGCGCTTGTTTTTCAATTAACTTGTTGTAATATACTGTTATTTTTCTTACTGCCTTTCAGCACATGTTGAAGCAAGGAGAGGCTGTAGAGTTGCGTAAGGTTGTTCAAAGTAACCAAGCCAAGTTGGTTAATTTAGCTTTTGCCAAGACTCAGGTAAGTAGCAAGCAATAAGCCATTTCGTAGTTTAAAATGCACATGCCCGTATCCAAGGTCAATTGACACAAACCTATGTTGTGTGTATGTGGTGTATGTTTGTATATGTTGACCTTGATATGGGCATGCTCAGACTACTAAAAAGTACAATTTTCTACCCTTTTTCTTTTGCACATTGTCAGTTTTATAGTACAAGATCAATATTTCAAATCCAAGTCAAGATATTTTGTAGACCTCTATGTGCTTCAAGATATTACTCTGGTTCAAACACCCAAGGGACATCTTGGGGGTCTGTGGGAATGTTCCATAATGATGCTGTTGTAATTAGCGTCTTAGCCTCAAACCCTCTTAATTGGAAGCTGGCACCTCTGTGCCACAATTACAACAAACTTTGACATACCATTACACTTTACTTTTACTCTGAGATACACCTGTAGGGCATTATAGCAGTTTTTATCTAATATTTATTTTTCTCTCTTAGCCAACTGCACGGCCAAACAGTCCAAATAGTTTGACCCGACTGGAGCTGCAGTACCAAACCATACTTATCATCAGTATTCTGGTCAAATACAGTCCTGATTGGCTGCCTAAGCAGCCAGTCTTAGCCAATCATCTGAAGCGAATCTGGACATCCGATCAATTCCAAGAGCGCCATCGTGTGGACAATGTAGGAGTTATTCACTGGAATGAACCTAAACTCTTGGTCAAGTGCCTACTCAATTACATAGAGTATGTCCTTTTTTATATTTTTTTTTAAATAATTTAAAATGGCTGTCCAATTAAATCAATGGTAAAGGTTTCTGATTTTATTAGTATGCTTGCCATTGGATTGTAAAATTCATGCTCTTATGTTCTCTTCTTTCTTCCCATAGGCATCATGCAGAGGATATTGAACTGTTGTTTCAACTTCTCCGTGTCTTCACAAATCGCTACCTTCCAAACTTTGTCTTCTTCAGGAACTTTCTTGAGGATAAGGTTGCGCAGGTATGCTTATTCCATTCATTTTTACCACTGATGTTGTAGTGCACTGATAAGACTGTTAGAGACTTTTAGGGCGAGTTGAATGGCCGAGCGGTTAAGGGATTTGCGCCGCAACCTACAGCCATATATTTTGACGTGGGTTCAAGCAGCATGCTTGATTATGTTTCTGGTGGAGGAGCAAGTTTTTTTTGGATAAGAACTATAAACCGTAGGCCCAGTGTACACAATTGACTCATGCACACTTTAAAAAACCCAGTGAATTTTTCGTGATAAGTAGCGGGTTACCCCAGTGTACTGGTCCATACAGAACCTGTTACCCTGCAGTTACGGATCATGAGGTCCTTTGCAGGATGTGCCGTTATAAAAACGTTAAACATATCATTAATAATGCATTATATGTTATTGTTTATTTCATAGGGTTATTCTGTAAATCAGAAACGCCAAGTTTTCTTGAAGTTTGTTGAGCTGTTCCATGACCAAAACTTCCCTCAGATATTGAAGGGGAAAGCTCTCCAGTTTATCATCATTCCGATGTTTGCAGCTTCATTTGACAAGAAAGAAGGAGAAGAGGTCAGTACAAAATTACAAAGGTTATTTAATTTTAAATGAGAGGGTTGGGGGTAAATATATTGAGTGAATTTCTGCTGTCCCATAGATTACACACATGGCTGAAATACCCAATACTCTTTTTCAGTAAAAAAAAAAACCAGTATCCTAAACTCTTTAATGTGTAATAAAATGTGTATTGCAGTGTAAAATTGAATTATTGAATAAAAAAAAATGTTATCAAAAGAATGATAATGATGGATATCAATAACAATAATAACAGTATTAATTAATGAAATTATTATTGTTACATGTTTTTCATAAAACTAAACATGCGTTATTTTGTTTTATTGATTTTTCCTTACAGCTGATTGGTGGGCCTCCTAACCCAAGTGGTAGCAACCCGAATAATCTGGTCAACATCTTTATTGAGAAGGTTATTGATCCCGACAATCCTTATGGAACGTCTGATTCCACACGGATCTTGCTACTTCAGTTTGCTGCATTGCTAGTTGAACATGCTGCACCTCATATACATGATGCTGCTGATCGGAAACAAGGAAGTAAACTGCGTCGTTTAATGACGTTTGCATGGCCGTGTTTAATCCACAAGAACTGTGTAGATCCTGCAACTAAGTACCATGGCCACCTACTTCTATCTCATATCATTGCCAAGTTTGCCATCCACAAACGAATTGTTCTCCAGGTAGAGTACCAGGCATCTTGTTCACCACAGTTCTCCCATAGATGCATGCCTTGTCAATCACTGCTCCAAATTTTATATGCTATAGAAAAAAAAAAGTTTATTACTAGAAAAATATACCTGTCATAATATATGAGATTATGAATAATAAACTATATACATATTGGCAATTAAATTATTTTGTTTTCAAAGGTGTTTCACAGTCTATTGAAGGCCCATGCTCCAGAGGCTCGCTCCGTAGTACGTCAAGCTCTGGAGATTCTGACCCCGGCTCTACCGACTAGGATGGAAGAGGGCAACACTATGTTGACCCACTGGACCAAGAAGATCATTGTAGAGGAGGGACACACAGTAGCTCAGCTTGTTCATATGCTGTAAGTTTCTGCAGTAACATTGTATTGCAATATGTATTTCTCTAGTGTAAGCATTTGGTGCAGCAGTTGTGGCCTGGACACTGAACTTTGAGGTTGGAGTTCAACTACCTTGCTTTTATATTGGCTTGTGTCTTTGGGCAAGGCACTGTATGGGTACTGGCATATGGTGGGAAGGTAAACACACTCATTGTGTTACCTGGGTAAACTAACTTAAGCCAACATTGACACTCCTTTAAACTAACATTGTAACTGTTGATTTTGATATTTGTCTTGTTTTTTTGCCTAGCCAACTGCTTGTGAAGCATTTCAAAGTATATTACCCTGTTCGACATCATCTCATTCAAAATATGGTGAACTCAGTTCAAAGGTTAGGGTTCACTCCCAATGCTACTTTAGAGCATCGTAAGCTAGCAGTTGACCTTGCAGAGGTCATCATCAAATGGGAAGTGAGACGGATCAAAGAACATGATACCAATACAGAGACTATGGTAAGTTACCATAGATGATGCCATTATGTCATGAGGAATTTTGCATTAAATGGCTTGGTTTTAATATTATGAGAATTAAGAGAATGTATTAACTTTGTAAATGCAAACAAAATGTGGTTTTGTCTATACAATGTACATACAGTACCATGTATACATAAAAATGTTGGTTTATTGTGTACATAACATTATTTAATAATTTATTTTTTTCTGTATTTAGCCTGTAGCAGCAGAAACTGGAACACCTGCAGGAGCTGCAGCATCAACATCAGCAACTGCAGTAGCAGGAGCAGGGGCCTTGAAAAGACCAGCATCGCTAGATTCCGCCCCAGATCCTAAACGTGTCCGGAATGCATCAGGAACAGTAACAAAGACCAGTATCTCCGTAGAGTCTAGCAAAGCCATTGACAAGCACTACTCTGATGCTGTTGTGAACTTCCTGTTGCGAATAGCGTGTCAGGTCAACGAGGCTTCCTCTGCAGCAGCAGGTCAGTCAGGAGAGCAGCTGTCACGTCGTTGCATCATGTTCCTGAAGACGGCTCTGAGGCCAGACGTCTGGCCGAAGTCAGAGTTGAAATTGAATTTTATGGAAAAACTCTTCCTCTCAGTGGTAAGCAATTGTAAATGCAATGGGTTTTTTCCCCAGTTTTGTATATGCTATTAAATTACATTGACTGGTTAATTGATTATCCAATCAGATGATACCAAGTTGTCTATTTATTGGTTAATCAGATTAAAACATCTCCTCTACTCCTAACACCTGCTTATTGTGGATAATACATGATTTAATTTAAATTATATACTGCCAAAAAAAAAATAAGGATTTTAATTAAGTCAAAACAAAGTTGTCTGTAGTTTGTTAGTTTTTAATAATTTTATATATATTTTTTATTTACCAGGAACAGAGCACTTCAGTGAATTATGGGAATGTTTGTGCTGGCCTTGAAATCCTCAGCTTTCTCTTGAGTGTCATGGTAAGATATACTTATAATGAATATAATGTCACATGTCTTGCTATCAATATAGATTCATATAGTGCAATACTAAAAACTCCTAATATGTTTAAGTAATTAATTCCAAAATTTTTTTATTTATTTATATTGTGGTAATTCCAGATTGTAAAAGAAAATGGCATAAGGATGGAGGTGTCTTATTATGAGTCCGTGAATAATGGTACAAAATGATGAAATCATAAAATTTTCAGCTTAGTTACTATTTTTTAAAGATATCAACAATTTTGTTACAGAAAAAGCCAATGATTTTATCAAGTTTTAAGCCACTGCAAAGAGGTATTGCTGCATGTTTGACCTGCTCAAATTCAAAGGTCATACGTGCAGTTCACACTCTACTTACAAAGCTTATGAGTCTCTTCCCGACAGAATCAAGTAAGTCACTCTGTGAAGTTTGTTGTAAAGCAATTTTGTAGCATTTCACCATTGCATGTATTTCCTATTCCCACTTATTTTCTTCCTGTTAAAATGCAAACACATATTGAATGTATTTGGTTGGGGCAATTTGCACATGAAATACAGCTTTGAGAACATAAAATGATCGCATTTTGAAAGCCTAGTTGGAATTGGAAGTTTGATTTACAAAACGTTTGCTGATGAATAACAAAAATGATTGAATAAAATATCTGTTTTAATATTTTGTATATAAACTGACAAATGTTTATGGTTCCTCCAATTGGAACAATCTTAGTAAAATAATATAACTATCCATCTGACTACCCTGTGTACGTACATGTAGAACCACACTAACATACTCATTCTTTTTTGGGGAATATTGGAATACCAGCATCACCATTGGTATGTGTGTATTTTATTGTCTCTTTTGATTAAATCTGTTTATTTTCAGGCACATCAACGGTAGCTTCTAAACACGAAGAGCTTGAATGCTTGTATGCCAGTGTTGGCAAAGTGATCTATGAAGGCCTCAATAGCTATGAGAAGTAAGTACAAAAAATATTAACACAGTGAACTGGGGTCTCCTATAGAAACAAGAATGGCTTATAGAGCTTTCCCCAGCTTTCCATTTCAACTGCATTTTCAAATTTTTTTTGTGCTTCTGTAATATTGTCAAAAATTAATATTTGTATCATTTTCTGTCCAGGGCTGCAACCGGCACTCCAACGTCTAGCCTCTTTGGCACTTTAATGATCCTGAAAGCCGCTTGTACGAACAACGTGAGCTACATCGATCGACTTATATCTGTTTTTATGAGGGCACTCACCAAGATGACGAGAGAACACCTCTCTCCATCAGCAGCTGGGGATGGCATACCAGGTGTGTTGAAATTCTCTTGCTATTATTTTAATACATAATTTGCAATAATAGTCCACACATGTTATAGTCCCACAGTCACTGCATTCAAGTTAATGTATGTGTATAAGTCATGCTGCTGTCTGCATCACAGACAGTTTTATGTTAATGGAGGATGAATGATGAGGATTTATCAAGATTTGATGGAAAAATGTGGTTATTCATTTGTCAATTATTATTTATTAATACTGTATTGATAAATTATGAACTTCAGTCCTTTGCTGTGATCACTGCTTATAGTGGACTTGTGTGCTTTATATTCTTATTAATACTTGCTTTAATTAACCAGCACAAGCCCTGTATCTAATTTAAAATTGTTATTAGATGGTTTATATTTTTTCAGTAGGTGAACGCTATTGTATCAGTTATTTGACATTTAACTTCTTGATTTTTACAGTTGCATCAGAGCTGCTGGTGATTAGTCTAGACCTTGTTAAGAACCGTGTGGGCGTAATGAGTAACGACATGAAACGTAACTTCATTCAGATAATTTTGTCACAGCTCATTGAAAAGTCCTCCGAACCTAAAGTACTGAAAACCATTGTCAAAATGGTAGAGGATTGGATTAAGATTAAGGTTTGTGAAATTAATAAAAATATTCATTGCTTGATCATCAGGTTTGTCACATCCCCACACATAATGCTCAACAGATTTTTATTCCTCTTAATGACGGCGCTTTCGATTCACGCAATGAGGTAACACTAGAATGGATTCACTCATCCACAACTCCTACGTTCTCTGCACAACATAGACTCGGAACAAACTGTGTTCTGGAATACGACAATAACAATAATTTAATGTGTTCAATACACAGATGACTTTTCAGTAACTTCATTACATTCTATGTCCTTTTGTCTTCATGCAGGCCATGTTAGGCCCTTAGCTTGCTTTTTAATTTTGTTCTCTTTTCATCAGGCTCCTAGTTTGCTAAAAAGTTTCCATTACTTCCTCTTAACAAAGAGTATTGAATAGCAAGACTGACAGTTCTGATTTTGTAGGCACACATACCACTTGCAGTTGTATACTCTTTGCTGTTAACTAACAAACTCCCTAGCTTGATTGCTTGATTAATTATTCTGTAATTTACCTTTTCATTTGATATATGATATGTATCATTGATAATGACTGCTGTTGATGTCGTATTGTAGACTCAAATTATGATGAATCAATCGCCAGCATTGAGGGACAAGTCAATCCTTCTTGTGAAACTTATGCAATATGTTGAGAGCCGGTTCCCTGATGAGCTGGAACTACATGCTCAGTTTCTTGACCTTGTCAACTTTGTTTACAGGTTAGCGTCACAATACTGTGTTTTGTTGTTTGAAAATCTTGCTACAAAATGAACGATGATAAAAGGCTAAAAAGTCTAGTAAAGCTGGATAACAAGGGGGAATGACAATAGGCAGGCCTAGAAGAGAATAGATAACTAAGGTAGATAGTGATAGGGAACGTGCCTAGTAGGAAATGGCTGAGGAGAGATGATAAAGAGGAGGTGGAGAGGCCCTAAAAGGTGGGCATCAAAAAGGTGTGATGAAGAATTACAAGGTTCTTTGAAATAGCAGTCTATACATTCAGAAATATATATATTTTTTAAAACTATATTCAATACAGTGACATTTGTTGTTTGCCAATTCCAGAGATGAAAGTCTTGCAGCTAGTGAGCTTACAGCAAAACTTGAGCCAGCATTCTTGTCGGGATTGCGATGTAAACAGCCTCACATTCGTGCCAAGTTCTTCTCTGTGTTTAATCACAGTATTAAGAAGCGGCTGTTTGATAGGTTGCTCTACATTACAGCGTCACAGAATTGGGAATCTATGCAAAGTCACTATTGGCTGAAGAAATGTATAGAAGTAAGTGTTTATTATTTAAACTATTTTAAATAGATTAATGTGTTTAATAGGGTACTATGCTTCTGTAAAGAACTTCATTCAATTTGGATTATATAGATTTTTTTGTAGTGTATTCTATATGTGGGTATTTATAGTGTTTATATACAGCATGTTAGCTATTTCCATAACAAAATGTTGATTTTCCTGTTTATATTTCCAAATATATGTCTAGCATCTCATTTCTAACTAATGTTTATATTTTATTTCTTTAGCTTATTATGGCAGTGACAGTGAGTGGTCTGTCCATCACAACTGTTAACTCCTCCCAACTACCTGCAATCACCTCTGTGATTGGCTTAGCTGACTCGCATGACAAAACGGCTTTCACACTTGCTCTACAAATGAAAGAGGAACCGATGGATGTTGAATCTGTAGAGGTTTGCAGTGTTTTTTTTTTTAATATTGCACTTTTGAATGTTGAATTTTATTTTAGACTTTAATCACATGTATCTTGGTTTATTGGAGTGGTTTGGCACTATTTTGTTTATTGTTTATTTAGCAAGGTACTTTATCTGTGTTGCTCCTCTCTACCAAGGACTATAAGTGGGTATCTGAAGAGGTTTAAGTGCAAAATGCAGCAACTATGGAATTTCCCCCATAGGCATGGTTCCAATGACTGGGGTAATAATGTGGAAAAGTGCTCTGAGATGTATATGTAGAGTGCTACATAAAAACGTACATATTATTATTGATGGATATTGCATTTATATTTTCTACAGGATATTGATGTGGACGTTGAATTGAATCAACCTGATGGCTCGTCGTTTAAGAAGTCATCTGACAACAAGCAGACCTTAAGCCAGCTGATTACTAGACAAATGAAATTCCTTGAGCAGCTCAGAGAATTTAAGGTTAGGTGATAACACTCTTTCTTGTTTTACAGCCTTTATAACAAAAACTCCCTCCATATCTTCATCTCCTTAGTGTGTAAACCAGTGGCCGGCAGATCTAGACCAACTAAAGGGATCACAAGGGCCACCTTCTGCCTGTTCAAAATTGACATTTGTCCTACTAAGATTGTTTTCATCTAGCTGTGTACACTCTGTTTTTAAAGGTTGTACAGAATTGTCAACAAAATACAGTTCCTGACTCTTACCAAGTACCTATATTTAAAATAAATTTTCTATTCTCATAGACAGCATTTCACTTCATTATAGAGTAATCAAGTACAGGTAAAGATTTGGTGGGGTTTTTTCTGTAACCTCTATTTTATTCCTGTTGTATATTAAAATTATTTTTTTTTTACAGACTTTTAATTTCCTGACGGCTCTTTCCAACTTATGCCACAATAGCACAAATTTAAGTCATTCTGTGTGGATTGACATGTTTCCAAAACTCTGGAAGATTTTAAGTGAAAAACAACAAACAGTAAGTCAATATTAATATGCTTTCATTCCAATACAAATTCAACAACGCAACAAAACAGATGGTGGTGGCGTGCTCCAAAAAAACACTAGGAAAAGTCAATAAATTAGAGACTTGAGGCAACTCTAATGCACAAGTTATGCATGACTGAACACACAGTGAACTGTTAAGTCCTGTCCAAGCTATCAAATTTTCTTTGAAAAAACTGATGTCTGGACATGATGTGATGTAATAATGACACTATTTAGGCAAATGTCAAAGGTTTTGAAAAGTATAACAAAGTTAGGATTTGAATGCAAGTTTCTTGATTTACCAAGCTTCAGCTCCACTTATATGGTATTTCAATTGTACTTATTGTCAGCCAGATCAGTAATGTTTTTATTTTTTTCATTATATTTCAGCTTCTGTCTCAGGAGATTGGACCCTTCCTCTGTAGTGGTAGTCACCATCATCAGAAGGACTGTAATCCTAGTACTATCAACACCATGTTGGAAGCTGTCGCTCAGTGTGTTCCAACAATTTCCATCAGGCCATGTGTTCTAAAGGTAGGCTTAGCATTATCACAATCTCATATGTACAGTAATTGTATATTGTGGTTAGAAACAGAACAATATAACATGCAATTAGAAACATTCCTGTTCCAAATAGAACAAGAAATAGAATGGATTTAGCCATGATTTATTATTATTGTACTTTGTGCTTTTTTGTTCAATGTTCATCAAATTTATATAGCATCCTATATCCACAGAAGTAAAGTTTAGCATTATTATTATTTAATTAACTAAATTCATATTAATATTTAATTTCACATTTTCCATTGTTTTCCCATAGTATTTGTCCAAAACACATAATCTCTGGCATCGGTCTGTGCTCATCCTTGAACAACAGGCCATTGAGAGTGGATTCAACATGCAGCATAAACCACGCAACATTAACGTAGGAAGCGTCTATGATTTCTTTGAGCCTGACAACACAGCTAGTCTTCAGCAGGTTAGTCAATGCATCTTTTATTTTTTTATTAATGTTTGATAGTAATTTAGTATTTATAACAAGAGCAGAATACTGAAGTTGGTTAAAATCAGTGGTAGCCACTATTTATGCACTGAACCAGGGGGGTGTTATATTCCATCTAGCTGCTTTCATTGTTATATAGAGTACCGTGCTCAATGACTTTATTAATGTGATTGCACCCAAGCCACAATGCTTACCACTGTGCCATATAAGTTGACATGCTTATAATCATGTTGTCTTTACCTTTATAGTAATCCCTCATAATCATGTGATTGTCATGTGATTAGTCTAACAGCTTACATGTTTAAGAGATTGAGCCTAAAGCCTGGTTTCCATAAAGTTGCTACACTTTTTCTATGTTGTTTTCACTGCAATCGTTTATACTGCATAGCTGTCTCTGATGCAATGATTCAGACTGCCTGATTCAACCAACCAATAAGCATAGCCAAAAACTGTTGGTCATAGAGTGTAGCGATTTTATGGAAACCAGGCTTAAAACTTGGCCAATCACAGAATAAATACCTTAAGATGTGTCATAGTGTAGGATGATTATAGTTTCTCCCTACAGTTTTTTTTTTGATGAAAATATGAGCTTATCAATTAAGAAAGACATATGATTTTTGCTTTTTTTTTCTACAGGAAACACTTGATTCGCTTGCTGGGATTTATGAACTGTTAGAAGAGGAAGATATGTGGGCAGGGCTGTGGCAGAAGCGGTGCAAGTTCCCGGACACAGCAACAGGAATAGCGTATGAGCAGCAAGGGTTTTATGAACAAGCACAGCAGGCCTATGAATCTGTGAGTAGTTAGCTAATATTAAGGACTTTTTGATTTGAGTGGACGTGGACGGCTTTCACATCCGCGTGAGTAGAAAATCCGAGCAGTCGACTGGTACTTGTCCACTGGTTATCTGAACGTTTCGATTTAAGTGAACGTCCATGTTGACACGTCAGTGAACTTATAACCTTGTGATCTGGGGTTTCCCCGTGTTCGCGCATGCTATTCGAATACACTGGCCGTGGTATCTTACTCAACACTCAGGTACTGTAGTCCAAGCAGCTCAACATGGCAAATCTTCATCGGCTTCGCGAATCGCTTAATGGTATATCCATGGGGTATTCAGGGCAGGGAGTTGTAAAAACATAAATCTTCCTGTTGAGTGTGCACCTCTCCTTTGTTCAATATAGGGTTTTTTTTTTTGTTTTTTTTTTTAACAGATCACTGAGAAATTATTTCCTTTTTCCTGGATACGCCCAGCCTGACTGAAGGCTGGCGGCCTAGCCTAGCCTAGGCTTAGGCTCCCTTGGCCTAGCTAATAATAATGGATAATTCTATAGTTTGCAAATAGGACATAACTTAACCAAAATGCTATTTACTTACATCCCCAGTAGAAGATAATTTTGCCAAACTAAGAAGCACCACGACATCGTCCTCCATCATGAATCAAAAGTTTGCAGTGATATGACGTCATACGTCTACTTATTATCTCAGTCAGAGAGTGAACGTCAAAACGCTGCTGAACACGTTCTCAAATTTGGCAGTCGTCGTGTTAGTCGACTTGACACATGCGCAAGTCATCAAAACTACGTCATAGGTTATCAGTCGACATAGTGGACGTGCAAATCGAAAACTCCTTAATGTAGCATGTGACTTAGCTGTTAGGCGTAAGCTGTTTTTCCCAAGCATTGTTGGAAAACTAGACTAAGGGTTGTAAGTAGAGTAGCTAACTGTGGACAGTTAAGCTAAGTTTTGGTAGTTGCTAAGCAACTTACTAATGTAAGGTTTGTTAAATATGATCATTATCATAATGATGTGTAAAAGTGATATGATATCACCAAACTATATTACAGGCAATGATGAAAGCTCGTTCTGATCATAATTCTGGATCACAGTCACCATCCGTTTTCCCGGAGTATCGTCTGTGGGAAGAGCACTGGATAAAGTGTTCAAAGGAATTGGGCCAATGGGACCTTTTGATGGACTATGGCAACTCCAAAGTACAGTCGAACCCACACCTTGTGCTTGAGAGTGCATGGAGAGTACCCAACTGGGGTGCCATGAAAGAGTCATTAGCCAAGGTAAGCCTGTTATGAATATCAAGTTTATGGACTATACATAATTACAATCTTTTCATTTAAGTTGAACAAAGATTATCCTTTGATCCTTTGTCTAATTTTTTAAAGCTTTGTCCAGACTATCAAATCTTCTTTGACAAAAAATCTTTTGTATGGCCATATATGGTCATAATGTGCCTATATATGGTCATGATGTGCCTATATATATGGTCATGATGTGCCTATATATGGTCATGATGTGCCTATATATGGTCATGATGTGCCTATATATGGTCATGATGTGATGTCCTGCCTATATACAGTATTTTGATAGTCTTGATAGAACTTTAACTTTAGAAATCAAATGACATAAGTAATTCATTATTTTTCTTTTTGGCAAAAAGCATTATTAAACACCTTATTGATCAAATTTCACCTGCATTGATTTCTTTCCTAATTTGTCTTGACACACCACAATACATACATATAATTTGTCTGTAATTTTTATAGTATCTTATATTGGTAAATTTCCATATGTCTGTTTTTATTACTTTACTATAATTTTAGTCTTGAAATTTTTACATCAAAAACCTTTAAGTTAATTATCAGCCAATTGAAAGATCTATGCAATGTCTATACATACAGTATTGTATATGCATCTATTAGTTGGATAGTTTTTTTTTTTTTTTGCAATTGAAAGCTATAACTAGTACTTAAATATACAAGTCAGGCAGTTCAAATGTTGAGTTATTGTTAGTTAACTTTAAGACTGACTGTATTTCTAATTAAAATTACATTGTGATGTCTATATAGGTTGAGTTAAGCTGCCCACGTGAAATGAATTGGAAAGTGAATTTGTATCGAGGATACATCGCCATTTGCCATCCTGATGAGAGGAATCTGAACCTTATTGAACGCCTAGTTGAGATGTCAAGCAGTCAGGCTATAAAGGAATGGCGTCGCCTGCCAAGCTACGTCACCCAGGCTCACACACCCATTTTGCAGGCAGCGCACAGGATCATGGAGCTTCAAGAGGCAGCTCAGATCCATCAAGGCCTGCAGCCTAGTAACATTGGACGTAACCAAAGCATCCATGATATGAAAGCTATTGTGAAAACATGGAGGTAATCTATGAAATATTTTTACATCAAGTAATAAATGTATTGCTAATCAATAATATGATGCTCATAATTTTAATTACATCTCTTTAAGGAATCGTCTACCAATGGTGTCAGACGACCTGTCTCACTGGAGTGACATCTTTATGTGGAGACAACATCACTACCAGGCCATTGTGTCAGCGTATGATAACCAAGCCACTAGTGACCCTGTAAGTCATTCTAATCATGCATTAACATTATTACATTAATGTGCAATCTGCCTTACTTATGACTTTTGTGTATTTTCTGCCTTAAGCAATTAGTTATCCTGAGCATCCAGGCTTTCCTGTACTGCACCCAACTCTTAGTACTCACCACCAGTGGGTCACCAAAATATTTTGGTGGGTCACCGTTTCCAATGCTATACTTGACACGATTTTTTGGTTTTCATTATAATTTTTATTTGATTAATAACTTCATTGTTGTATTGTTTTCAATAGCAACATTCAAGCCATGCAATGCTTGGTGTGCATGCATCAGCCCAATCTATTATCAACTATGGAAAGGTTGCCAGGAAACACTCACTTATTGGTCCAGCTCTGGATTCTCTTAGCAGGTCAGCCATTTAGTTCTTCTACACTTCATTACCTCTGCCTAGGAGGTTATATATTCACTGCGGACTGTCTCTTTTTCTGTCTGTCTCTTAGCAAGATTACACAAAAACTAATAAATGGATCATCGTAAAATCTAGTGGAATAGTACATAATAATCAAAGAAAGACACCATTGAATTTTTGGAAGAAAATGTCAAAGGTCAAGGTCATGGAAATTCATTTTTTACTCTGGAGCATAAAAAAAAAATAATGGAATTGCCCCACATATTCAGGCAGCACTCAAGAAAATAATATGCCTGAATATGTCAGGCGATTCCATTGATTTCTTATAATAATAAGAAATAGTGGTACACTCAAGAAAATAATGTGCCTGAATACGATTCCATTTATTATATTGAGGGTATGCTGCAGTTTCGCCCATTATACATGGTCTGCGTATTGCTGGTACTGTATTCAGGCACAGGGTGGAGGTATGCACTCTGTGGACTGACTGCTCTAGTTCTTATTGTATTATATTTGCTCATCTAAATTTTATTGATCTACTTTAAAAAGTTGTTTTTGGCATTTACAGTGTAGATTATAATAATATGATAACAGTTTGTAATATTTTTATCAGTTAATGAATTTTCTCCTGATTTCTTAAAGAATTCACACTATTCCGAGTGTGCCAATAATAGACTGCTTCCAGAAGATTCGGCAACAAGTGAAATGCTACCTGCAGATGGCAGGAACTATGGGTAAACAAGAGCTGCAGGAGGGACTGGAGGTGATTGAATCTACAAATCTGAAATACTTCAACAAAGAAATGACAGCAGAGTTCTACGCACTCAAGGGCATGTTCTTAGCTCAAGTTGGCAGGTAATGTTATAATAACAACCATAAAAATAATAATAATAATGATAACAATAATTGTATAGAATTGTTTGTATAATAGATGGTAGAATGATAGTTGAAATTTATTGTTATTACAATAGCTAAAGCACAGCCCCAAGCTACTACTGTTACTGCAATGACTGTTACCTAGATGTTCTGTTAACGTGCAAATTGTGTTGTAGAGATAATGGCCAATACATGTTGTTGATTTTACTTTGGTTGATTCCATTTTTTTCTTTGCTACCATTTACAGGTCGGATGAGGCAAACAAAGCTTTCTCGGCTGCAGTCCAAATGCATGACACGTTAGTAAAAGCTTGGGCACTCTGGGGTGATTACCTCGAACAAATCTTCACAAAAGAAAAGTATGTAGCAGTTAAAAATTAAGAGAAAGTTTTAAAAGTCTAATAATAACAGTATAAGATATCATGAGTAATAATATGGCATTTTTAATGTAGAGCATTTAAAACAATTATAATTAACTGTTTTCAGAAGAACAAATCTTCACAAAAGAAAATTATGTAGCAGTTGAAAATTAAGAGAAAGTTTTAAAAGTCTAATAATAACAGTATAAGATATCATGAGTAATAATATGGCATTTTTAATGTAGAGCATTTAAAACAATTATAATTAACTGTTTTCAGGGTTTTTAAAAAAACATTGATTAAATTGCAAAAACAAAATTAATGTCAAGGCATTCAACAACCTAATAAAATGTATTACCATCATATAAAGTAGCCGTCCTAAGTATATTTCAATAAGCATTTTATCAGTATTCATTAAAGTGTGTTTGGGAACATATGGAGAGTTATATATTATTGAAATACTCGATTAATTTATTTAAATTTTTTATCAAAGGCAAATCAATGTGGGTGTGTCGGCTATTGTGTGCTTTTTACACGCGTGCAGACATCAGAATGAGAGCAAATCACGCAAATACCTTGCAAAGGTGCTTTGGCTTCTTACATTTGATGACGAAAAGAACAACCTTCCCTTAGCTGACGCTGTTGACAAGTATGCAGTAGGAATACCTGCTTTTCAATGGCTGCCATGGTAAGATTTTTAACCAATATAATTTTTTTTTATTTTTAATTTAATTGATCCAATAATATCGTCATTATCATCATCACCACCACCATAATCATTACCATCATCATCACAATCATAATCATCATCATTTATCACCACTATAATCATCATAGAATTTCTATTTAAATATGTGTTTACTAGCACAAGTGAAACACACTTTCAATTTCAATTGATTACTTTCTTTTGCAGGATACTAGAGCTTCTAGCATGCTTAGTTGTCTTACTCTGTTGCCTGTTATCCAATACATCCAATTTCTGTCATTTCTCTCTGGTGCAGAATGCAGTATGCTTCAAAATTGAATTTTTTTTTTTGCAGGATACCACAGCTCTTGACGTGTTTAGTTGGCTGTGAAGGCAAGATTATTCTGAACTTGCTGGTTCAGGTGGGCAGGGTGTACCCGCAGGCTGTTTATTTCCCAATCAGAACATTGTACCTTACATTGAAGATAGAGCAGAGAGAGCGATGTAAGTTACATAATTAGTTGAATTTATACAGTACTTAAATATTTGAATAGTTTCATCAGGTTACAGTTCTACAATGAATTTATACTATCTAAAATTGATTTGTTTAATATGGTATGGTATGGTTATTTAAAGAATTTTTAAATAACTGGACTATTTCTTCGTATGTTTTTCCTTAGATAAAAGTGGTGAGCTTTTGCTATTAAAGGCTAAAGCAGCCAGCAATGATGGTGCAGCTACATCAACTGATGGCACCTCCTCCAAACCACCTGCCACCATTGTGAAGACAGAACCGAACACAAATGCAACAAAAGATGTTGCCCAGCCCACCACTAAATCAGCAGCAGAAGCTAAAAGTTAGTGATAAAATGAATGTCAATATTACATGCTGCATTTCTGGCCATTAACAGAACTGGTCCATGGCACCCGGCTTTTGGAAAAAACCTGGGTTATTCATCATGCTGGTTTGTTGAATAGTGAAGGGTTCTTAAATTATTTATTGCCACTGAAGCCCATGAGATGAAGTGAGTGATTGTTGTTTACATTCCAATGGCTATATGTTGCTGGCAGGACTCTCTTGTTAACTCCCAATGGACATTCTTAAAACCAATTAAAGTTAAGTTTATTGAGCTGCTAACAGCTCCCTCTGGACCATTTGACAGCTCACTCTCAACTATCAGACAGATCACTATGGACCATTTTTGCTAACGGGGACTTTTGCCTCATGTGTAGTTTTTTTTCAGATTTTCAATAAAAGATAATAAATAACTTAACAATTTCACCTTTATGGTATAATATAAATAATGTGCATGGGTCTGAAGTGGGAAGAAGGTTCTTCCAAGTGATCTGGTTTCATGAGCTTTCTTAACGCATTTAATTGCATTTTGATGTGCATGGGGACACTGATAGCCAGCTGATTTGAGTGAGACAAGGCTAGTTTCCGAGATATTTTTCCTTGCTCACAAGATTGCAGGAGACAGTGCCGATTTCAAATCCGCCCCTGAATCATGACCATTAATTGTCAGGGAGCACTTTAAAGACTAGTTTGAACAATTGAAACAGAAGGTTTTGTGCACGCATTGATGCACAATAGCTTGTGTATCAATAACTGTTCAAGCTAGTCTCTAAAGAACTGTCGGTTTATGTTGTAATATGATATCTATTTTCTGAATTCATAACCTGGATAACCCAGTAAATGGCAAGTTTCTATTTCTGGTAATTACCTTATGAAAATGAGAGCATTTGTATGAAGCAAGCCTTTTTTTAAAACGAGATAAAGGATTACATTTGTTTAAAGATACAATAAATAATTCAAAAGTTTTCTTTATGTAACATTTAAGTTAACCTAGGAATATTGACAGATGATTTGGTAAATTCATGTACAGAAAAATTACCTTAGGGATCTTACTCATCAAAACAAATGTAACACTATGGGCAAGTTGCATTCCATACAGTGCAAAGTAAATCACTCTTATAAGTAAAATTTATCGATTGATGATATTCTTTTCTAGCCACCACTGCTAGCAACAGTTCATCCACTACTGGTAGCACAACAGCAGCACCTTCAGCATCAGCAAGCTCATCTAGCCAGGGTCCAATACGTGCCACTGCCCCTATGTGGCGCTGTAGCAAGATCATGCAGATACAGAGAGACCTCCATCCGACGCTGCTATCCTCTCTTGAGGGAATTGTAGATCAGGTATTGCTTTAGTACAAACATTCATCAATGTTTATTGTTGTTATCATCATATCAACCATTACGGGCTGTCTACACAGTGAGGCCTTTATAAATGATTTGCATTTTTCATTTGAGGTATGTTTTCGATCATTTATATTTATATATATAACCTTACTTATAGATGGTTTGGTTCCGAGAAACATGGTATGAAGAAGTTTTACGCCAGTTGAAACAAGCATTGGCTAAGTGTCAGGCAGTTGCATTTGAGAACAGGGGAGCAGGTATGTAATATGTTAGGAATATTTATATGCCTTATTAATGGTGTCGTAGATTGTAGGTAAAAAAGCTTAATTGATTTAGAAGTGGTTGGCACATCGGTTATGACTTGGACTCCCAACCTTGAGGTCAGGGGTTCAAAACACTTGCTGTGTCCTTGGGCAAGGCACTTTATCTTTGTTTTTTCTCTCTCTATCCAGGACTATAAAATGGGTACCTGGTAGGATGTTGTGGCATTGATTACTGTATGTTATTCAGTGACCAATGGTAATAACGCTCAGCATCTTTGAGCATTGATTTGGAATTGGCAATATCTAAATATATAGCATTATTTTTATTATTGTTTATGAGTACTGCTTAGCATGTAAGATGAAAATTGTTGCTAGGGGTGATATTTTTTAAATAATAATTGTAATATAATAATTTATGTAATATTTTTATTATTGTTATTAGTATTATTTATTTCCATTATTTTTTTTTCATTACAGTTGCTGAGGCAAAAGTAACACCTCATATGCTCAGTTTTGTCAAGAAATTAGTCAGTACTTTTGGCGTTGGAATCGAGAATGTGTCCAGTGTAGCAACCACTTTCTCCAGTGCTGCGTCAGAATCTTTGGCACGTCGTGTCCAGGCCACTTCGCAGGATCCAATCTTCCAGCGACTGAAGAACCAGTTTACTCTGGATTTTGACTTCTCTGTACCTGGGTCAACAAAACTCCACAACCTGATACATAAGCTGAAAAAATGGATTAAAACTCTAGAAGTCAAGTGCAAACTTCTACCAAAGTCAGTAACTTGTATTTTTTTTTTAATAAAGACAATTCATATCATAAGTTGTGCAATGGAGCAGATATTTGGCTTGCAATACTGGGGTCCTGGATTCGAATCCTGTTAAACAGTTAGGATAGTTTTCTCATGAATAAAACTCCTCCCAATCGTCTGTCCGAAACATGTGACATGCCTTAATATGGTCATGATGATGATGACATCACATCATCACCAAATATAGGCACATCATGACTATATATGGGCATACGATAGACAGTTTGATGGTGTAGATGGAGCTTAAGCCTCAGATAGGGCCTAGAGATATGTTGACATTGAATTAATGTTGGTCAAACTAAACCATGTACCTAGTCACTTTGACCTAAACAGAATGCAGTGCAAACTAAGTGTGTCACAATCTCCATGGTCAAATTACCCAAAACATGCATATATGGATATAGGTATATGAAAATGTAGGTACTGAACTATCAATGCCTCATTACAGTGGCTAGGTAGTCACAAACCATGCCCATTAATTAGCAATTGAACACAATTTTAATGTGATTTATGGTTTGTCCTCCTATGTTTACCTTTACCTATAATAGTTTACATTGTGTGTTTTCTTATTGTAATAAATTAATAATTGTAATTAAATAATTGAACCCCATTTACCTTCAAATTCTTATGTCCTACTACCATTTAGTTTATTACTAACTGTGTTAGGAGGAAAAGTTGGTGAATATACCCTTGAATTTTCCTGTTTTCACAAAATATATAAAATTGATTGAAATTACATTTTGAATTGAAAAATCTTATTAATGCAGTATTGAGCTTTAGTTATGAATACCTTTTAAATCTCATAATTTGAAATTTCTATTCTGATTTATTTTTCATCTTACTAGGTCATTTCTCATCGAAGAAAAATGTCGCTTTTTAAGTAACTTCTCATCAAGCACTGCTGATGTGGACCTCCCCGGAGAGTTCCTGGTACCAAAACACAATCATTACTATATACGCATTGCACGTTTCATGCCAACTGTTCAGATCGTCCAGAAACATAATACGTCAGCAAGAAGACTATACATACGAGGCAGCAATGGAAAGGTATCTCAAAATACATCCATTTATCTTAAATAATTTCACACCATATTTGATGAGGTGATTATTCCAGTAGAGCTAATCAGGTGTTGTTTTTATGATACCCTTGATTGATGCTCATTAACAAAGTCTTCATTTGAGCCTTGGGACGTGGTGTTTTGGTTGTGAAATAGAAAATCCTAAATTTTGTTTTTCTACAGAATCCATTGTACGCTTTCAATCACTACACATAAATAACAACATACTAACTTAAAGTATGGTGTTTTGGTTGTGAAAAAAAAAATCCTAAACATTTTTTCTTCCACCTGAATCCATTGTAGGCTTTTAGGCACTACACATAAATAACAACATACTAACTTAAAGTATGGTGTTTTGGTTGTGAAAAAAAAAATCCTAAACATTTTTTCTTTCTCTTGAATCCATTGTAGGCTTTTAGGCACTACACATAAATAACTACAAAATATGATGTTTTGGTTACGAAAAAAAAAAAATCCCAACTTTTTTTTTTTATCTCTAGGATCCAATATAGGCTTTTAGGCACTTCACATAAATAACTACACACTTAAATAAAGTAGTCTCTATTGTGAATACTTAACCTGGAATAATATGATGTGAAATGCAAACTTACCTTGTGGAAATTGCCCCTTAAACATAATGGAAAATAATCTAATTGCTCATCTTGCCTGCTTATATACACCATAAAAGGATTAAACGCTTCCCCATGTCCTTCAACACTACAGTATTTTCTAAATGACATGATTCTTTTTTTTAACATTGTTTTCTCATATAATTAATAAATTGTGTAATTAATGTGAATAATAGCTTTTTGATGTCCACAAAGGCAGCTCATAACTTAAATAAATAGACAATAGAAAGATGGTTAAATGTAAATAAATATTTATAAGTCAAATCTAAATTATGGATGCACTTTAAGAATACCATTGAAAACATTATCTGTAGCAGTTAATATGATTAGAGTTTTGGGGATAGTCATCAATTAACACTCTAGGGGCAGCATTCATTATCTACTGGCAAACATAAGCATTATTTATAATAGTATCATAAGCATTATTAATTTATATATTGCATGTCACCATATATTTGTGTATACTTTTGTATAATAATAATAATAATAATAGTAATAATAATAATAATGATGATGATAATACATAACAACAATAATAATTATGTATATTTTTTTCAAACAATTGTTTCAAAGGAATGCCAAATTTTCCAGTTTATAATCAAAATAAATGTCAATGGTTAATACCTTTTGTTTTACTAATTAGTCATACCTCATTTATTTTATTATAGATTTACCCGTACTTAGTTGTTAACAATGCGTGTCTTGGTGAGTCCCGCCGAGAGGAGCGTGTACTTCAGCTACTTCGCATGTTGAATCATTTTCTAGCAAAGAGGAAGGTGAGACACGATTGGATTGGAATTATTCGGTGTAAACACCAAGGATAGCCCACGGAAATTTAGGGGGTCCTTGTGGTGGTGATTGGGCAGTACACCTGGAGACAATCCCCTACTCTTTTCCGAAGAGTGTACTGTGTTCTTTAACATGCACATGGACCATTAATGCACACAGGACTAACGGCTTAAACGTCTCATTTTCCTATTATAAAGGATTACCGTATTATATTGAATATTCATTCTGTTTTAACATTCGTTATTGTATATTTCTCCTAAAAGGCTCATCAGATTTGATCATTTACATTTTTTGAAGACAAAGTTATTACACTTCTTTAAAAAGATGTTATTACTATAAAAAAGATTTGTGTGATATTTCATGGCAAAACATGCTCATTTTTAACACTGATGTAATTATTAAAAGCATAATTTACTACTTACAAAAAAAAACCCAGTAAATAATTAACATTGAAAAAACATGCTCGATTTTTGCAGTCTTAAGAGATTATGCCCTGATACATTTTTTTATTTGTTTTATATGTGTTTAATTATATAACTTTTACATTATATTTTAAATTACATCTTTAATGATTTATGTTAACATCAAATTATTTTCCTGAATGTTCTATATTAGAAATTATAAATCTTTTTTATGTTGACATTAATATTTGATTGCCTTTATTATTTGTGTTTTATTACATTTATTTATATCTATGTCAATATAGCAACTCTAATAGCTGTGACTTTTTTTTTATTCAGTATACATTTATTCAACCAATAAAAATGACATAAAGTATAATTAAAAACAACAAAGTATGAAAATATGTACACATTGTTTATATAAAAATTTAATATTAAATAATTACTGACTGAAATTTAATGTTAAATAATTACTTGAGAAAAAAAAGTGTCACTGGTTTGGATCATGTTTAGAAGTATAAACTTGTCTGAACATGACCCAGAAAACATTTGAGGCAAGTTTTATTATAAACATTAATTTTTAGTATTGTTATTGTTCTTCTATCATAGTTGTTAAATACTAAATAGAAATTTACTGTGTTTCTATTAGGGAAAAGAAAATTCAATAGTTAACTCACAGAATTAACCATTGTCTAATTATTTTCTTGGTTTAATTTGTTTGTCTACTTGTTTATTTACCATCTTTACAGATGCTTATCATTTTTCACCATCACACTTTAAAATGAATGTGTCCATCCAAAAATGTACATAATAACATGAAAAACTTGCAAACACTGAATATTCAAAATCTTACCTACTTGTATATAGAAAAGATATAACATTTATTAAATCGAGACTGATTTTTATTTCAAATAGGCAACAGCTAAAAGGCAACTTCAATTTACTGTCCCGCGAGTGGTTGCTGTGTCACCACAGATGAGGCTAGTACAAGACAGTCCCACTTCCCTTTCATTACTGGACATCTACAAACAGGTACGTTAATGAACGAAATCTGCACAGTATATTGGTATTATTGAATAATAATTAATGTTATTAATTGGGGAATTGTTATTTTTATTATTGATTTATTATCATTACCATTTTCCTTTTTAAAATTTTTAAATTGTTAGTGGTTATTGTTGTTGCTTACAGAGATGTAGCAAGCTGGATGAGTACGATACCCCGATACTGCGATATTACGACAGGCTTCAGATGGTACAGGCTAGAGGCTCGCAAGCTAGTCATCAAGTGCTTCGTGACATCCTGAAGGAAGTGCAAACCAACATGGTCCCCAGGGGAATGTTAAAGGAGTGGGCTGTCAGAACGTACCCTAATGCAACCGACTATTTTGCATTTCGAAAGATGGTAAGAAAATTTGGTGGAGCTGTAGCATAGTACCTAAACTCAGTCTACGCTATCCAATTTTATGTGACAAAAAATGTGATATGCCCATATTTGGTTGTAGCATGACATCATCATGCATGTCACACAAATTTGTCACATAAGGACAAGAACCCCATTGGAAATAAGTTTAATTTTAAACTTTCTTAGGTTATTCCTTGGTTCATTCAGATTATGTTGTCATTTGTTTTGCTGTATGATATTTTTGTCATATTTTTTTTGTATTTGTATTTTAAATCTGATTGAACTAAATAAATCTAAACTAAACTAAAACAATTTGTAGTGTTGACAGATCTTACTTAAGATGTATAAGTTTGATCAAATATGTCTAAAATATGTAGTGGTTGGCGGTACTGTTCTGTCAGTGCTAAGGAGGCTGGATCTTGAAAAATCTTTGTCCTGCAGCTATCATGCTATTCAGTGTAGGTGGCTGATGATAAATTATTCTTTCTGTAATTTATGACTTACGACTTGTTATATAGTATTTGGTTTTTTTTTGTTGTTTACATAAATACATCATGATATTTAATTCCAGTGTTATACAAACAAATGAACTTAAACTTGAAGCTTGGCATTAACTATTATATATATATATTATTATATATATTAACTATATATATATATATATAAAACAAAAAACTCCGGAGAGAAAGTAATAAGTTGCCAGGTATATATTTATTTAATAGTGAGCAAACGTTTTCGGTTATCAACCTTTGTCAAGCAAA